TTCTCAAAAAAGGAAGAAGGATAATATGATGATGGAGCTTCTCTTTACAAAAGGAATATAGATTTCATTCTTTAATGAGTGATTAAGTCCAATATTGCTGAAAACCACCGTATTTGCGAAGATAACCATGGTCCCACCGTATCTGCAGAATAGCAGGGGAAGAAGCAGAGGAAATTACCACCGAAACCCTTAAACTCTTTCCTGTAAATCCCTGTTAATATTACGGAAAGTATTAGTAGGGGTGTAATGATAGTTATAGGGAGGCTTAGCCTGCGCAGCAACAGAGAAAAAATCTCTAGTATGTCGACGCGGTTCACCATGAACCACTCATTTCTTTCCCGCCTGAATATCGCATTAAATGCTGAGATACGTGCTAGATTACATTGACCCTTGCGCCATATCGCTGTATTCTCGTATGTATAGATAATCTTAGCAGTCCAGTCAGAGAAAACGCCATAGTTAGACCTGCAAACAGAGACAAAAAGAAAGAAATTTGTTTGTGCGATCTAACAATATCAGCAAGTTCAGTTCGAGTGCAAGAAACAAGGTACATTTATTCTTACATTCATTGCTTATATGAGACTTAAATGCAGATAGAAACGAACCTCGTACAGTAATTAATGAACGACTGCATTTATAGCTCATTTATGTTGAGATAAATTTGTTGGATTCGAGTTATACAACACTAAAACACATTTACCGTTTACATATTCCAGGTGAAATGAGTTTGATGGTGAAGTACGTAAGAGGTGTGTGGAACAAAACTGCAGATGGTGACTGGGATTTTGAAGTGGAGACACCCGGAAGAGGGTACAGACTCCTGATGTCAGAGGGAGAAACCTTCGAGTCGCTTGATGGAATGATGAGAGCCCGGTACAGTCTCGATCCAAACGACATGATGGCAATGACCTACCAGACCCCTCCAAGCATCTGTGTAACTCCAGTGTGGAAGACTCCTCCTTTCGACATCATCAACAATGGCGATGTCCAACTCTTCATGGCTCTCCGAGTAGAGGTGGAGACTCTGGCCATTTGTGTTACTGTGGGAAACGAAAACGTGGAGCGCTACCATCGTGATCGACGCCTCACTGGTGATGTTAGCGGACCGCCGCCTGGGTTTAGTCGTCCAACTCGGGAAATCCCTGGTAATCCTCTTGGTTACAGCGATAATTCATTTAATACCGTTGAACATGCAAAGTATGATGATAAAACATGTGGTGGACTTACGATGTTTACAATTTTTGGGAAGGCCTCTTGGAGGGACCAACGGTGCTGATTGCTGAGAGTGTATTCCATGAGATCTTTAATGAGGAAGAGCAGCGGTACATCATGGAGTTTCATAATGCCTACACACAGCGGGAGTCTTCTCGTCAACCACCCATCGAAAACGATGACAGCTCATCCGGATCCTCCAGTGGAGAGTTCAACCAGTTGCATCATGAAGAGGGAATAGAAAGTTTGGACATCGGAATCTTAAACGGTGACCCCATCTCAGCTCAACCACAAACGCATGTAACTCGCGCAGTAGCCAACCTCTCCCTAAGGACTACAATGGGTGGAGGTACGGACTATTTTAATCCATTTTATGACATTGCCATTACCCTCTAACTATAGTGTTGTATGAGGTACATTATGATTTAACGGCTAACTTTGTTATTACAGTAATTGGAAGCTCGGCTCTATCTTCAGGTTCAACGAGCGGTGGCCAGATCAACATCCCTCCAACTGACGATAAGGGGAAATCTATGATGCCGAATGATGCTGCCGGTAGTCCATTCCTCGGATTGACAATCGCATACGCCGGGGAGGGTAGCGGCGTGCCGAATAAGCCGGTTCTGGTTTCAGATGATGATCTCCCTGACCACGACGGAGACTACATATGTGAGTGGGACGTGTACCACCAATTTCATTAGTCAAAGTCTAACATTAGCATTATAGTGCTACTTTCTAAATTATCCTTTATTCTTAGGTAATGGTGTGAACAAACCAGATCTGCTGTACGTGGGAATAGTGTTCGAAAACCAGAATGCTTTCAAGCTACACATGTCACTGTACGCCATTGCGAAGAAATTCCACTACCACAACCGACGATCAACACCGAATCTGATGGTGTTGGAATGTGTGGGACAAAGCTGTCCATGGCGGGTTTATGCCGTAAAGATGCAGGGCATCGAATGGTTCCAGATAAGGAAGGCGGCGTTGACACATAACTGCACGGTTGACGATCGTGGCCAGTACCACAGACAAGCCACAACAGCGGTCATTGGTGATATGGTGAAGAACAGATATGCCGGAGGTCTGGTTGGACCAAGACCTAACGAATTGCGGGATATGATGCGGGATGAACATGACCTCCCAATTTCTTACTGGAAGACTTGGAGATCAAGAGAGATAGCAAGGGAAGGAAGTTTGGGGGCTGCTGGAACGTCTTACAGAGAACTTCCAAATTTCCTTCAAAGTATGGTTATCTCAAACCCTGGCAGTATTGTGTCTTTGGAAACAGACAACGAAGTTGGTTTCGGGCAATGATTTAAATATCTCTTCTTTGCTCTTGGAGCAAGTCTGAACGGGATTCCATACATGCGAAAGGTTATAGTTGTAGATGGGGCACATCTGAAAGGGAAATATGGAGGTTGTTTGCTTACAGCTAGTTTTCAAGATGGTAACCACCAGCTGTACCCACTGGGGTTTGGAATCGTTGACGGAGAGAACGATAGGGCCTGGACTTGGTTTTTCCAAAAGCTGGTGGAGGTGATACCTGATAACGAAGATTTGGTCTTCATCTCCGACAGACATAACTCCATTTATGCAGCCCTGCAGAAGGTAAATGCGTTGCTTCCTCAATGAATTTATTACTCCGGTAACTGGTATGTTTACAATCCTTTACTAATGTTAACGACCAATGTAGATATTGGTAGCTTATATATGGGGGTGTTAGATCGGTAAATTCTATGTATTATAATGCATTTAACAACTACGATTTAAGTCTAAGTAGACCTGTTGAGATAGTATTTAGATTTCATTACTCCGCTAATAGATCTGTTTACTATCTAGTCAAAATGTTAACGACTAATATAGATATGATATCAGCTCTACCATATTCTATATCCGTCTTCGAGGGATATTAGCTGATGTAAGTTATTCACAATGTAGGTTTACCCCAAGTCTTACCACTGTGCCTGCGTCGTACATCTCCAGCGGAATGTGCAGACAATTTTCAAGAAAAGATATCTAAGCTACATGGTCTCGAAGGCAGCCAGGACTTTCGTCCCTTCGGAATACTATGAGTATTTTGATGAGATTCGATCCATGGACGAGGGATGCGCAAGTTACCTGCCTTCTATCGGCTTTGAACACTGGGCGAGATCCCATTTCCCAGGTGTTCGTTACAACTCATGACCAGCAATGTGGCTGAATCTTTAAACAATGTCCTGTCAAGTGCCCGTGACTACCCCATCGTCCCACTGGTGGATTGCATCTGCGCCACACTGATGGGATGGTTTACCCGAACACGTTTAAGTGCTAACCATTGTGGTACAACCCTAACACCAAAGGTGGAGGAGATCCTTGCGACCAACTTCGAAATGTCAACGGGATTCTCATTCCGTAGAGTTAATGAGGTCGAGTATGAGGTGAGGAATAAGGAAGGCGTCCCATTCCTGGTCAATCTCGAAACAATGTGCTGCAGCTGCAACGAGTTCCAGATGCTATGCTTCCCTTGCCCACACGCTGTCGTTGGCGCAATCCGTACGGGAACAAGGGTTGACACTTTTTTGGCTTCTGAGTACAGCACCACGTTCTGGAGAAAGGCGTACGAGTGCAGCATATATCCGGTAACAGCACCAATCCCGACCATTGCAGTTGGTGATGACTTTTCAGGACTGAATTTGCTTCCGCCTCGTACTAGGCGACCACCGGGGAGGCCGCGCAAAACACATATCTGTTCCCGCGGAGAGTTTGGGGTACATAGATAATTATCATTTACTTTCCATATTAGACCACCAATACTTTGGTTATCTATTAAAAATAGTTTGTACAATTTAATGAAGGGAACCCAGCCAAGCCTGTTCCGTGTTTGTGGTCGCTGTGGTGGATTCGGTCACAACTGCGCCACGTGCAAGATGCCTATTTAGGACGAGTGGGAAAAAGAGTCAAGGAGAGAAGCAGTGGAGTTGGTTTTTGGTCTGCTTCTTTGTTGATGGGGCCATCTGAATTAATAACTATTTTGTGTAATATTTTGTTAAGTTCTGGACCCCTTTAAGTACTCCTTTTAAGTTTGATGTAATATATTTTAGGGGGTGTGGTCGAATCCCCTCGAACTTGTTTCTTTCGGTGCTTAACAAAACCATGTTTCCTTTGTTGGTTAATGTTTAATGAAGAACAAAATCTATGTATGATTATTGTTAGCACATACTTGAATTGTTAGATCGGTATTTGATTTGTTATATAATGCATTAAACCTATAACCTAGTTGGCAGACACCCAACAATGACGGAGGGAACGACTAATATACGCATCCTGGCGAAATGTAAATGTGTTGCTTCTTCAATAAGTTTATTAGTCCGCTAATTGGTATGTTTACAATCCATTAATAATGTTAACGACTAGTATAGATATTGTTAGCATGTATTTTGGGGTGTTAGATCGGTACGTTTTTTGGAATACAATGCATTAAACAACTACGATTTAAGTCAGAGTAGAACTATATTAAATTGGTTAGAAGTGTTAAGAATTTGTCTGGAAATCAGATAATGCCAACGATACAGGTTCCACACAAATTGTCCGTTACCCTTGTGGTAAATAATTTAGACTTGCTAACACGTTTTTTAGATTTGCTAACAAATTAGTTAGTTCTGTTCGTAATCGGTTTAGACGTAATCAATAAAAGAAAACTGATACTTGAACAAATATCCTGAATAATCGAAAGATAACAGTTCAAACTACAACAGTAATGCAAGCAAATGTATAAATAAGGTTATCATACAACGACAATAAACCCAATCACATGGGATTACCAACAAGACCAGGAAATCATCAGAGTTCTTCAGCAAATTCCTCAAAGAATTTCACAGCCAATACCTGGCTCGCATTGACAAGTTCTTCTGGGGTCATCAACTTGCATCTCTCCACACCCCCAATACAATGGAGCATTGCATAAAAAGCAGCAGATACTCCAGAATCGGTACTTATGGGGTTCTGGGGAATGCCTTTGGCTCTTTGTATCAAGAAGATTTTACAGTCGATAAAACGTTTGTAACCCGTTAACCTTTTCAATACATACGGCAACATCTATGCTAGAGGTGTAATCTCTTTTTTAACGGCCGCCTCCGTCCGAAGTGTGTGTTACAGTCGATAGCCAATATCGACCCTCCCAGGACGTCAACATAAACTGCTATCCAATGCTCCTTGTCCACATTGAAAGGCAAATACAATCTTTCTGGTGGCGGTTGTTCGGGTGTTTCTGGTTCCAGGTATTCCATGACACATCGACAAATACAAACTTTGGTTTGTCTTTGGGAGCAAGGTTTTTGAACTTCCCCCAGCATTTCATGAGATGAGCAACAAATTTCGTCTCCATAAACTCGGTCTTATTGTGACTTGGCTTGGGATAGAGCTTGTTATACACTGCACGGGCATAGAGCAACAGAGCATCCATCATCTGCAACCAATTGTCTGTGAGTTTAATATATGAGGTAAACACATTTTTATAGAATAAACATAAATCAGATTACGGATGACCATCCCCAGGTCTTACCTTTGCCAACATGGGTTTAGTCCTCTCTCCGATTTCAACCACGTCTTTAGCAGTAACAGATGATCCATCCCCGAGGCTGATCACACTGCAATGAAATCCAACAATTAACAAAGCACCTCAAAACAACCACGAACTTTACAGACTGTAACTTACCATAGCGATTTTACTGTTGAAAGCAACCGTGCAAACTTCTCAAAATAAATCCTCTGTTGTTCGAGAGGACATAAAAATGGGTTCGATCCCATGGAGGATGCCAAAAGCCGAGTATCAACCTGGTAATCTGTAAAGGTCGTATTCTGGATCCTAGGTCTCTTACCCCTTCGTGGGGCGACATTGAAATCAGTAACATCGTCATCGAAATCATTGCCACTATCGACATCACAGCAAATATCGTGGTCATCTTCCCCACCCTGAAAAAGACAACAAGAGGTTGACACTGAAACAAGCTAAAATCCCGAATTACGAATCTAAATGGGAGTGTAGACTCTAACAATATATTTGGACTTCTAACATATATGTTACTCTGCTATCCCGTGTTGTGGCGTTGTTATATATTCCAATTACGGTACCTTCGACTAGTACATGGGTGTAATAATATTGTTATCATGATAATCATATTGATACCGCGAATGTCATTACCGGATTGGTCGGCGGGACGTCGTTGCTGTCACCAACCTCAGAGCCAGATGCGTTAGTTCCTTTGCTAGCAATCGAATTGCCTTTCGCGGTGGGGAGATCCTCGCCCTGTTGGCCATCTCGCTATAACATTATATAGAGATACAAATGAAGCAACTTATAAGTTGGTGGTAAATTAAAGAAAAATTTGAAGTCCAATGGAAGGTTAATATGCACTAACCGATCCAGGAAGAGCATTCACCATCCCGATAGCATCAGCAATCACGACATTTGGGTTCAAATCGTCGTTTACCCGGGGAATGGTGGCACTCAAAGCGCGAAGAGCTGTCTTTGCATTTGCTGTATTACCCCCTTGACCGCAATCCGATCTCTGCTTCCCAGCAGATTGTTTCCCACTGATCGACAGCGACTTATCCAACAAACCAAGAATGTTGGAAACAAGCTCTTCCTGCATCTCTTTCAATTTGACATCAAGACTTGTCTTCAAATTTTCTTCAAAGCCAGAAACAACTTGGTCAAGAGCTGAAATTTTCAACAACGCCTCGGACAACGAACCTTGTATATCTGCGAGCTGTTCCTTAACAAGCGAACAAGTGTTATCCACGGGATGACTCGTACTGCCACCGCTGCCTTTGTCAGAAGTATGCATCCCAGAAACAGAATCCATTAACTTCTCCTTCTCTTTCTTCTTGTTTACCTCTTTCCTCTCTGATCACATCTTCACAAGTTCGGCTTGTGTCATCCCCCCCTTGAACATTTCCTTCCTGAATTGGAAACCTTCGCCAATAAGTTGCACCACATAATCAACTTTGGGGTCTTCCTCGTCATCAGACCAATCAAGGTCCATGTTCTCCGTGCTGACATTGGGATCATCAGGAATAATACTAAAAACATCAGCCTGCACATATGATTAGCGGTTAACATAAAAGTTAGATGTGTATTTAACTAGGTTAAGATTAAACAAATCGTTAGACGTCAAACAACAATGTTAACTGATACTTACTTTGCATTCTTCATCTATCTCTCTCGCATGACCAGGACTGAGTCCAAGTTTGTGAACCTCCGATCTGGGATTAGTTTTGGGTGCAATCCGGTCTGTGTCCATCACTGGCTCCTGAACCAAATTGCCCTCAACGCCTCCTCCCGATTGAACAGTGTCGTCGATGTCGACCTCTTCATCTTCACCATCTTCAGATCCCGATGAATTGGAAGATTCATTTACTTGAACTACCTCGGTCAACGCCGGAATAGCCTCAACCAAAATTAACTGAAGTGCCTGAAAAAACCTTTAACTGCAACGGTACTTTGGGCAAGTGCAACCTCGTCTTTTGTTTTTATGCTAGCGATTAACATCTCAAACCCAAGTCTACCCCATGGATATAGAAAGAATTCATCCAGATCTCTGATTAACTCGACATGGTCAAAGACGATTTTGGACCGGTGGTTCGTAGGACAAAAGACTGCGCCGGTTATAGCGAGACATGCATACTTCAACCGAGTGGTTCGGTCGGCAACGGTTCTCTTTTTCAGCATCTTGGTTGCCAAATCAACACTGCAAACTTTGAGGTTGCCAAACAAATCGGGCCAATATGGTTTCTCCTTAACCGGATTTCGTTTCTTCTTCTTCAATCTTTTGGGATACCTGCCGCAGGGAAGACCGGTGACGATTGCAAACTCGCGCAGCGAAATCCTAATAGGCCGACCAGCAAACAAAATCCAAATCTCGTGTTTCTTGTTAACTTTGAGCAGTCTGGTGATAATGTAATGCCCGAAACTGCCGGATAACGATGGTTTCTCTGCCGTCGCGATGAGCTTCCCAAACGGCGAACTGCGTAAGTAATTCCTCTCACCTTCATCGAGAGCATCCATGATGTTACCGATGCTCTTTGCTTTATGGTAGGAGTTCACCCTTTCGCCGGTAGGTTCGTCGCCGGCGGCGAAAATTCTGGATGGTAGTTCTTGTATCGCCATTTTAAGATGAAGAAATGGTGGAGATTAGATCTGAGTTATCGTATTTGCGAGGATTTTTAGGGAACTCAAACGAAAAGCAGTTTCTCTTTTTAATTTTCAAAATTCAAAAATGAATTATTACATTTACAGAGGGAGACTTTCCCTCTACTCTATAACCGCTATAATTAATAGAGTTATAGGGAGTTTTTTTGGATTATCGTAAAAGTGAACAGAGCCTTTTCAGCTAGTTATGTTTGCAAATACGGTGGTATTCTGCGTTATGGTATGCAAATACTCTTCTTTAATTTCCATGAACACATAAGGACACATAAGATCATTTAAAAGATACAAACTGATGAAAATATGACCTACCTGTTACAATGGAGTAAGGGTAATAATTAGAAACAGTAATAACAAATTTGAAACTACACCACCAAACCTTAATTAAAGAGGTCAATTAGCTTGGAACCATTCTCTATCTTCAAATTGTTGTTATACACAACTTCTTTTCTATAACATAATTCCAAAAAAGATTATTAATTTTTCTGATAATCAAAACAAAATACATATACAAATTAAACTAAACACATATATTTCAGTTTCAGTTTTTTTTTTTTTGGTAAAAGTAACAATATTTTACCAGACCCATCAAGCAAAAGGATACTCACCTATAGTAAAAAAGTTTCACGGACGAACATTTCACATCTCAGAGACCTGAACAAAAAACAGAGACGACTAAGTTAAAGAAAAAATGAGAAAATTGAATAAAAACAAAAGAAGGACGAATCTAGATCTAATAATTATGTACTCCATTCTACGCTATATAGAGGATACCGTGACAGTAACATAATACACGTTTTTATGGCTTCAAACAATTGGCAGCGACAAAAAAGACTCGGTTTTTGGAAACTGAGAACTTTATAGGAACTACTAATATATAAAGCAATAGGACGAATCTTTTTTTTTGATAAAAATAGGACGAATCTTGAATAAAAGCAGTTCGTTATCAAAGTTAATATATCCCAATGGAAATATGTAAGGAGGTTAAAGAGTAACCTTAATTTGACGAAATCTATTTATTTCACCTTGTTGGCATTTGATTGCTCCAGAATGTCCTTTCCGATGAGAATCATAGTGAGATCATTCTTCTGCGTTTTTGAGAAATCTAAACATCAAAGATTCCAACCATCAAACATAAGAATACTCACATAAATATAGAGAGGTCGCAGGAAATTTTCAGAGTCGCAAAAAATTGATCAAAACATGAACTTAGTCATGTTATCGGCATGTTTGTTTTATTAAGTTTCTCATGCTTTCTCGCCATTTCCAAATTTACAAAAAAAAAAAAGCAATTTAAAACAAACATGCCGATAACATGAATAAGGTAAATAAAAGAGAAGACAACAATTAAACAATCAAAGCATGTATCTTCTTTTGCTCATCTTAATGATATATAGATTTTTTGTGCAGCAATTCACTAAATAAAACATGCTGAATTCTTATGAATTTTCCTACCAAAATTTTGGTAGGAAAATTTTTTTATCATTTTCCTACGAATTTATGACAAAAAATAAAAATGGTAAGAAATTGGAAGAAAATTTTGGATCATAAATAAGAGTGACTCATCAGCTACTCTCATCTAACTTTGGTCGTTGTGATCTTCTGATGCGCGCAGTATCCTCTCTGCTCTTCCGCTTATGGTCATCAGCGCTTTGAGAGGTTTCACTCTTTGACAGGTTTGTGGAAAGCCATTCGAAGCTTACAGGACTTAAGTCAACCGGACAAGATGGAACTAATGGTACAAGATCGTCAGGGTCAACTGTTGCGGTAACAAGGTAAGATGCATATGACAACAGGATAAGTTGAGTGAGGAAAGCCGAATGTTTTTTTATTTGCTTAGAGATTACCAACAAACTCAATGGCCTAATGTGGTACGAACGATTTTTGCATTTCCACAAAACAATGTCCAGTAACATAAAGCGACTTCTCTCATAATTAACATCCCCTGAAAGTACAAATAAACGTCGGTCAAGAATATTAGAGACATATAAACAAGTGCAAAGGGAATAAAGACCATTAATAGACACATAAATGCGAGAATTCACCTTGTGGGGGTACAACAATGTTGATACCGGCATTCTTATAGGCAACATCGCGCCATTCATCCCTCAAGTTTTTCTCATCCACATAAGCCATGATTGACAAGTCACCAACACAACCCATACTCTCAAGAATTGTTTTCAAATTCTGATAAATCGAAACAGGACCGAGACCACGGGGGAACGGGAAATCCACTAAGTCCCAGAAGACAGGTATGCTAGACCCTGCGAGTAAGGTTTTAAAAAACAGGGAACGCATAAGCAATCAGATCGATCATGTATTATTCTCGCAGATCGATCGTATGAGATGGTCCTTAACAGAGAGAGAGAGAGAGAGAGAGAGAAAGAGAGAGAGAAAGAGAGAGAGAGATCTTACCGGAGGACTTGGTCTCGACGGGAGAGATCTCGGCGGACATGGGTTCGTCGTGAGATGAGGGCATGGGTTCGTCGTGAGATGAGGGCATGGGTTCGTCGTGAGATGAGGGCATGGGTTCGACAGAAGAAGCGTAATTAGGGTTAGACATTTTCTGGCTCCAGTTAGGAGCCGATTGATTGTAACGGTGGGATATATACCTGCGAATCAGAGTCGGTTAGGCTTTCATTTGAGATGGCTTTTATTCGATGGGCCTTTTAAGAAAAGTGTTGGAGCTAAATTTGTCACACAAATCCAATCCAGAAGATTGTTAAATGGATTGGTTTGGCCCACTCGTTTATGTGGCTTAATATTAGATTATTGGTCCAATAATCACCAAATCTCATATTTATAGACTAAGGCTCTGTTCGTTTGTTTGATCGTTTGTCATTTGCATCTATATGATCCATTTAAATAATTCATCTGAATGAGTCATCTGAATGATGTAAATAACAAATGAGCAAACAAACATTAAATAATTAATGAACATTTATTTGTTTGGTCATTTTAATCTGAAGATATCTATCTTTATCTTAATTTTTTAACAATAAAATTATTAAAATATTAATTTTATCAAATTATAATTTTATAAATCTAATTGAATTTTAAATATATTAGATTAACATTTTTACATTTTTGGTAAAAATAAAATTTTCTTTTGTATAGAAGAGATTTAAACGAGATTTTATGTTTTTTCACGAAAAAACAAGATTTTACGTTTTTAATGAAAAATGAGATTTTATGTTTTTAACGAGAAAACGAGATTTTATGTTTTTAACGGGAAAACAAAATTTAACATTTTTTATGGAAAAACGAGATTTTACGTTTTTTTACGGTAAAACGAGATTTTATGTTTTTTACTAGAAAACGAGGTTTTAAGTTTTTTTACGAAAAATAAGATTTTAGGTTTTTGATGGGAAAACGAGATTTTTTTTTTTTACGCAAAAACGAAATTTTTAATTTTTTCACGGGAAATCAAGATTTTACGTTTTTAATGGAAAATGAGATTTTATATTTTTAACAGGAAAATGAGATTTTATGTTCTCAACGAGAAAACGAGATTTAAGGTTTTATGGGAAAACAAGATTTTAAGTTTTTTATGGTGAAACAAAATTTTATGTTTTTGACAAGAAAACGAGATTTGACGTTTTTAACGGGAAAACGAGATTTTAAGTTTTTAACAGAAAAACAAGATTTTATGTTTTTGATGGGAAAACGAGATTTTATGTTTTTTCACGGGAAAACAAGATTTTAGGTTTTTGATGGAAAAACGAGATTTTAGGTTTTTGACGAGAAATCGAGATTTTACGTTTGTGATGGGAAAACGAGATTTTACGTTTTGATGTGAAAAAGAGATTTTATTGGAAAACAAGATTTTATGTTTTTGATGGAAAATTGAGATTTTAAAGGAAAACGAAATTTTATGTTTTTTACGGGAAAATGAGATTTTATATTTTTGATGGGAAAAAGAAATTTTATATTTTTGACGGGAAAACAAGACTTTACGTTTTTTAACGGAAAACGAGATTTACGTTTTGGTGGAATAACAAAATTTACATTTTTGGAGGGAAAATGAGATTTATGTTATTACAAAAAAATATATAATTTTAAGTTTTTGGTGGAAATCTAGCGGAGAAATTAAATTTTAAGTTTTTGAAAAAATGTGATTTTATCATTTTTGATGGGAAATATGAATTTCTAAATTTTGGGGAAACTTTTTATATATGTTTAATGGGAACAAAATTTTAAATAAACAAAAAATGTTATTAATATTTACTATTTATTATTTTTTTGTATTATATATTAATTTTTGTTAAGTATATTTTTGTCATTTAATTTTTTGGACTGAATTATGTTCATCCAGATGGTTCAAATTGAATCAGTTGGATGAGTTTAAAGTTTCTTCATAAATTTATGTCATCGAGATGATCCATCTAAATGATTCATTAAAATGAACTGATTAATGTAATTACACGAATATCATTTAACTGCTTTATCTAGATGATCTAGTCAGATGAGCAAACGAACATGTCCTTAGGACATTGATTAAGTCAAATATCTTCAACCTAAATATAAATACTTTGATCTCTCGTTAGCCTTTCTAAAACCCTAGTCTCTCCTCTTTCTCTCTTTTTCGTCACTTTTTCTCATAAACCGCTGTCAACTTCTGAGATAATTTCCCGGCGAGCCGGGAAGATCCACGTGACGTATAATATATCAATTTGAAGCCCCTGAGGTAAGCTTTCCGATAAGACCAACCTCGACCTGATCCGTAGTCGGAGACAAGACTTATCAAGAACAGCGTGTCGGGTGTCCAGATCCATTCTCTCTCTCTTCCTCTTTCTCATCTCTGCTCTAATCTCTTCTCTCACTCCTTTCAGTCGAACCTTCCTTCCTCCAGAGATGTCTTCGCCGCCTTCCTCTCCTGAATTCGAAGTGGGATATGATTCTGAAGGATCTCCACTTCGTCCTCCTTCTCCTATGCCATCTCCTCCTTCCATTCCCCGCCCTTCTGTGCCAAGGTGAGGACCTTGTGCTTCACCCTCTCTTTCACTCTTCTCCATAGTAGTTAGCCTTTTCTTAGGTTAAGTACTAGATCTGTGTGCTAGGGTTTAGATTGCTAGGACCTGGATCCTTGTTGATTGCTTGTTGATGATTGCTGGTTGTTGGTGGAACCTTAATGACTAACCATGAACTTAGACCTAAGACTAGAGAACCCTAAAAACATGAATTGATTGTGCTTGATTTGGATCTATCTTGCTTGTGATAGACTAGGTTGTGTGATATAGAACTGCTAGGTCCCCGACCCCTTTCTGTGGTGATTGGGGCGGTGTTGCTTGCTGGGCTAAGTGGGTGTGCGTTAGCTCAACGGTGGGAGAAGGTACGCCGATCCTTCCGGAGCTTATATGGTTGGAGGCCTGTCTGTGTGGTCGCATTGTGACCCTTTCTGTGTGATTGGGGGTGTTCCTTTCTGTGGTGATTGGGACGACTGGATGACCTTGCTTGTTGAGATCCCTTTCTGTGGTGAATGGGTGACCCCTTTCTGTGGTGATTGGGTGGGTGGAGTGACATTGTTGATAAGACGGTGATGCTTCCCTCAATGGGTTAAGGTTTCCTTGTTACTTGGTAGTTGATTGTAGGGTTACCCTTGTTTGCTAGCTTGACTTAGATTAGTCTATCTACTGTGTTCATGTTTGTTAGATGGTGTTGTGGATCTCTTTAAGGTCCATCCTCGCTGAGTAATCTCAAATTACTCACCTCTCTTCCTTCCTTGCATTTATTTTCAGGTAGATCAGCTATGTCTATATTGTTGATTGCTACCTGGGCGTTTTTGATCCTGGCAGACCTGAGGCTCACCATCTGGACTAAACCAGGTGTCTGACCGAATGCGGTTAGATAGCCGACCTAACATGCCCTATTTCACTCCCTCTCTAGGAAGCCTGGGATATGGATGTTACAAAAATCGTAATTCCTGACCGATGCGGCGTTAACCCTAAAGAGAAAATTCTTGTCTCGAGATGAACTTGAAGAACGTCTTCGAGAGGCGATTCTGCCAGGGAGAGAAGTAAAAATTCCCCTCGAGGAGGATTCTTCTTCACCGAGCACAAAGCGATGATGTCTTCCGCGAAAAAAAAAAAGAATATTTTTGTTCATTTTTTGTGACAGATTCTATGGAGTTTAACTTTCATGCTGTCGGAACCAAAGACATGGCCAGATTTCTCGTTTGAAAAATGATGCTTTCTGAAAAGCCCAAGGAGAGCTTACACTTGGCCCATTATGTATTTCTTGATGCATCCTCATATTTAGTTCAAATATATTAGCCCAGCATAATCTTAAAGAATCCTTGTATACCTAAAGCCCAAGCTGAGCTTACACTCGGCCCATTGTTGCCACGACATTTCTAACCAATTTTTTTTAGACTGTCGGAACGATTTCATTCTGTTATGTAGAAAGAAAGTTATTGATTCGTTGAATGTTCCCTTGAATGTAAGGTTGGGTTTTTATTTTTTTTTCCTCTCGTCGTTAAATGAAAATTCGCAGACTTACAAAGAAGTCTACTTTCAAAAAAATACCAAAAGGTCAATTGCAAATCTAACCTTCTACGTTGACTAGCAGACTGTAAAAGAAGTCTACTTTCACGAAACATAGCCCAATGTTAAAGAAATATTTAGATGTTTACCTCCTTCCAATTTGAACTCAATTAACTTTGACAGAAATTCAGAATTTTTGAGATGCACGGAAAGGAAACCAGCCCAGAACTCGGTTATCCAAGAATCTCACAAGATATATGATTTACGAATTCATACATATCAATGTCGACCAAGAAAAAGATTTTTAGATGAAACTAGAGAGAAATTTGAAGATAGAATGAAGTTTGAGCGGCCAAATAAGCATTTAGAGCTTCAAGTGCAGCTGGGCAAGCATTAAGAGCTTCAATTTTGGTTGGTAATGGTAGTTGGCGAAATTGAAGATGATGGCATTTTCGTGAATACTTGATATATCTTAGGATGGTTATGTCTTTTTCGAATTACCTAAAAAATCGATAATTATAAATATAATGGCATTTATGTTATTATATGTGGCTTTAGGGAGAAAGTGGGGAGAAATTGGCTAATATTGAAGAGGGAGAAAAAAGTGGTTAGATTTGCATTTGACTTCAATTTTGAGGTCATATGTGCAAGTACCCCATTTTTCATAAACCAACTTATCAAAATGTTAGATAAGATAAAAGATCATTTCTATGTCATATACATCATAATTATACACAAAGATTTGAACATATTTAATACATGATACCTGATTGCGAAGTAGTTTTGGCTGATATATTACATGGTTGCATTGCTTTCTCCATAGCAGAGTTCCAAAATGAAACAACTATTAATTGATAATATGAAGGACACAATTGTGATTAAGCAATCTCTTTAATTAAGCAAGTATATAAACAATCAGGATATAACAACTACGTTATTAAGGATACGGGCAGACTCTATCTTTTCACATGTGTTGTATCTTGATAGATCATCTCTTAGTTTTGCTAGTTGATGTAAATCAAGAAATGAAAAACTCATTATATAAAATGTAAATGGTATAATAGAGATTGAATTGAAAGAAATATAAACGTACGTGCACTTCTAGAACTTTTAGATGGATGACTCAATTTTAGATTTTCATTTCTTGAACTTGAAGGTCCATCGTTGAATTTGAGATTTCTTGTGACATCTGTTATGTTTCTATCGGGTAAAACATGATTTCCAACAATGGGTTGATCTAATTTTCCTGAAAATGAATATGAAACAAAGTAGTCATAATTATTTAATATTTTTTAAAATAATAAACTAAATATTAAACTAAATATATAAAAGTAAGCTTACTTTATTGAGTTTTTTTTCTTCTGGTCTTATCAGGATTTTGGTTATATGTGATATTTAAGTATCCTGATGTAGAATATCGACTATCACAAATATTTGCTGTTGGTATAGTTGGCAGAAATTGATTTGAGCCATAACATGGAGTGACTGGACTTGCTAGATATTATAAAGAAATTACTTTAGTTATAAAAGAGGTTTCATTCAGGACAACACAAACATAAAGAAGAAGGGTTAAAAAATACTTGTTTGTGTACCTGTGTAATTTTTTTTTCCTGTTACTGATGTTACAGGAGAACAACAAAATTTAAAGATAATACATTTGTCAATGAATAAATCGATTACAATGAAAATAAATAAACTACGTACTTGGACTAAGTTGGTTCTTTTTAGGATAACTTGAAGCACTGGGGCCAGTTCGGGTATTACTGATATCTCCTAATATATTTCGAAAAACACCAGGAATTGAAATTGGAACTGGCAATGCTTTTCGTTTAGGGGTAACTTCATTCTGTCCATTGGCATCTGTATATAATAAAAACTTCGAGGTTTCACTACATGTTTATTATCTAATTACCAAAGAATCATAAATAGTTGAGCAATATAAGTTGTTCAATGATGTTTCATCTTGGCCCATAGGAAATAAATATAATACGTACTCAAACTACATTGATTTTTTTCCGAGTACTTGAAGTTGTCGGGGGGGTTCTGAATATTAATGATATCTCCAAAGGTATTGTCGAAATCATCAGGATTTGAGATAGGTACTGGTAATGGTACTCGTGCAGGGATAACTTGAATATGTCCATTGTGTTATGTAAATAATACAAAAATATATGTGGAACTTTTAGATAGACCATTTATAAATCGGATTCTTAAGTAATTTATTGTACTTTCTTAAGAATATACAAACCCGAGTATAAATTTGAGTTTATTAGCGAATGAACCATAACTTTTATACATGGGTTGATGAAATCCAATTTAGGTCTTTTGGTTAAGATGTCATGATCTTTATCCATTGCAGAAGACGATTTTTTGTTCTTTTTCATTATTCTACAGATTTGTGAGAATGTAGAGAATCGATATATGCGTAGGATATATTTAATATTAAGAATTGAAAAGTAGTAGACATCTTAATAGGATAGTTACAATATTCTAATTGTTAAGATTACAAATAAATTGAGAATTTATCTAAACATGGAAACTTTAGGAATTAGTTTAAGTTCTTTTAATTATGATTGGTTGTGTTAATATTCACCAATTAGCATCTATATACGACAGAATATAGTAGTTACGATCGTTTTTCTAATTTTGTAAAATGTACATACATTTCTAATTTTATATTTAAATACAGAGTTGTTTTAGGATACAACTGTAATTGTAAGTGCTAAAAAAATATATGTATTGCCAAAGTAATAATGACTCCAAATATTTTGCATGAATGTTGTAAATGTTTAATTGCCATGCAGAATTTCTTTTCATACTAGGCTTGAGTTTGGCGAAACCATCCGTACATGCAGGTATTTTACTTTGTTATTTATACTAATAAATTAAAATTCCGCAGTTACTAATTAAATCGCAAAACATAATATATTTTAAAATTCTTGCTTTTATTAAACTTCAAATAACAAACCACAGAAAATCTGTAAACATAAAAAGACAAATCCTACGGGCAAGGAAAAAAATAACCGAAACTTAAACAATGAGATATTGTAGTAAATCTTAAGAAACAAAGCAAGCAGGAGAATGCATATTGTTAAAGAAACGAAGACTTCAGTCATCAACTTTCTCCTTCTTAACAGGCTTTAGAGAAATCTTTTCTTCACTCGATCCAGTCTTCATGTCCCCATTTAAAGCTTTCTTAGAAGTAGACTGCTCTCCATTATGATCATCAAAGTCAATCATCTCATCGCTTTTCCTTTTTGACTGTGGTGAATTATCATCGTCGCCACTGTCAAGTAACATCTTAGGAACCTAAAATGACAAATGTGAACAAATACGTTTATGTACAGTCATATAATCTTAATGAGAGGCATCTAATTCCTAAATAGCATACCTGTTCATCGGGAGTTATAAACCCCATTTCTTCAGACTTGACATCAGGGGTAGTCTATAAATAAAACAATAAGTTAACAATGATCAAAAGGCAATGAAATATGAATAAATATTAATACGAATAAATAGTTTAGGGATCAAACCAAAAATCCGGATATTTCTGATAATTCTTTGACCATGTCACTTTGGGTCACAATCTTTGTAACTTTGTAAACATCACTATTGAAAACGAGGTTTGAACTCTCAATAGATAGCTTGAACAGATAAGTTTTCCCACAAATGTTACTAATTGGAAGAGGTAATACATCTAGATCTTGGATCTGCAAGCAGTTTAGCAAACATATAAGTTTTCTATTATATATAGTAATTAAGATTGACTATAATAGAGTTGATAGTAAACTGCATAACTACCTCTTCCACAGATTCAGCCAATTGTGCAGCTGTTTGATTTACAACTTCCATGGCAAGCTTATCAAAGATTAAAAACTTTGTTTCACCAGTGTTGTCCATAACACGGAAAGTCAGCATAAACCTATGTTAGCATAGAACAATATATGAATATTAATATTATAAATAAAAATTACAAATATTCTTTTTGCTCTAAAAATTGCATCCAAGACTTACGCTGGTACGACACTTTCAACATCATCCTTATATTTGCCACATATCCATAACTGTTTAGGAAATGGCCTACTAGGATATTGCTCCTTCAACAAATCCATATCAAGAGGAAGCACCTTTTTAGAGCACACTTTGCATGACATATAGTACCATCCAAATTCAGTGTCAATAGACATGATGGTAGCCATAGTCACACATTTTTCAACCTACTAATTGAAGCATTACTTTCTTTTAAAATCCCAATCGCCATATATTGTTTAAGAAATATGTGTACCACGCAAAATAAATACCTCAGATGCACCAAGTATTTCACTTATTGTCCGGCGAGGGGTATGTAAGAAGAAATCATCTCTTACAAAAACAGAATTGACAATGGTCAATTGGTTAGGGTGTGTGTATGACAAAGTCACATCATCTTTTAGTAAGCTGTAAAAGAAAAAAAAATCTTGGATTTTAGTGACATGAAAGTAAACTAAATGGAAAATTGATAAAGGTTATAGATATAAATATACCGGTTTCTAAAAGAATTTATTTCAGGGAGATCAGGATCTGTCATCACAATGGAAGAATTGTAACAATTGCCAATGCTCCATACACCTAAATAATGAAATGTCTTGAAAGTTATATATATTTTTTAAAAACGATATTTTGTTTGTTAACAAAAAAACATTTGTTTCGTACCTTGATACAATCTTAACTTTCCAAATATTAACACGAAACAAATGGTAGCATTGGTTGCATGTGTAGCAACACTCTCCAAACTTTCTGCATAATTCCCCCAGAGAACACAATTCAGGCGTACATCACTAAAAGACAAAATATATTAGACGTTTTATTAACAATATTTAGGTGTCAAAGGTAATTAAAAAACCTGGTGTCACGAAGTGTCATTGTTAGACGTTTGGTCTGTTTTTTGTTAACGTTGAGAATTTCAACCTCGCCAATACTAACAATTTGTCCAACAATATCTGTAAAATAAAAACATAAACCAATAATTAGATGTAATATGCTTTGGTTCATATTAATAATGTATGCGAGATATAAATATACCATTTACCTATTAGAAAATCAGGATTCAACTTGCCATCATGAATATCAGTGAAGTTCACAAACTTCAACCCAAGAATTGTGGCATCCAGATCTTCAGAAGGTCTGACAGACGTCGTGGCAGCAAACTGGATCTTGTAAACATGAGAGGTAGTCCTGAACTTACCACCGTTGTGAGTGACTTGAAAATTAGTGATGATCTTAGTAGTTCTTTCCTCTAGAAGATTTTCAAATTTTTTGATGAACTGGTTCTTCATACTAACATGCATAGTTTGATTCTGCATGGCAATATAATAATAAGCAAAACGTTAAAATATATATATATGATCAAAATGGATCAGTATGAATAACGAACAAACAAAGTACAAAACAATACCAGTTCATCGACAACGACCATCTCCATCGTCTCGATCCCATTCAAATACTGTTTTCACAACTTCAGTATCTTGACACGGATCCTCCATTGGGTTTTGAATGGCTTTAGGGCAGTGAGGGATGTGAAGGTCGACATCGCAAACTTTGCAAAGGGAGTATGTAAGCTAAATATTGCTTAGCTGGTGTGATGAATTCGATATCTACAGTGGTAACTATTTATAGCAAAATAACGAATGTGGTGAGTCTAGGGTAAATCTTCGATGCAATCTTAAAATATTGTAGGCGGTAAATTATGAATTTGAATTTGAAATGACTTTGAAATATGATAGATTTAGGCAAATTTGATATATTTAATTTGCAATATTGTTCGTTTTCCATAAAGGGTCTATTTTTTTTAATTACTCCTACATATACGGAAAACAGAATATTTTGATTTAGGTAGGTAAAATGCATCTAAAATATATTGAAAATATAAGAATTGTTTAGACTATCCAAACAATAATTTGTAATTTGGTTATATAATTTCATATTGATATGGTTACGATAATATAGGAAGGTAATATAATCATTAACTGATAAATTTGGAATATGCATGCATACATTGATTCTATTTATGTTTAATCATTTAATTGTGTCCGGAGGAAAGTTTAAGGTGGAATTATGATTTCTTGATTATTACGGTAATTAAATTTTTAAATTAAATGAACCGAGATTATGGGATCATGTATATTGACACATTAATATAAACAATATTGTAATTAGGATTTGAAATTTATGAAGCGCAAATATGAACTCATGTATATTAGACTAAATATAATTATAATTATCATTTGTATAAATACATCCTTCATTTATATAATAGTAATTATGTAGAATAATAAAATTTGTATTTCTCAGTAAGACAGGTTCTACCAGAGTTACGGTGGGGAAGCTCGAACAAAGAGCAAATCAAGAAGCAGAGTCTGCGTGGGCCCCAGATCCAGTCACGGGATACTATAGACCTTCTAATCGGACGGATGAGATTGATCCAGCGGAGCTCAGGGAGATGCTTCTGAAAAACAAAGCCAAGTCTTTCTGATAACGATGTTGACTTTTGATTGGTTGATTCCACGGTAGGCTGTCGTAGGCGATTATTATGATTCCGTTTGTTATGTTTGGCCTTATATATCTGTTTGAGATTAAAGTTTTTTTGTAACAATGTTTGAGATTAAAGTTAAAAATAAAAGTTTATAAATCAGTTAAAAATATATATATGTATATAGATGGAATTCGTATATCTAATTGTATAAGGGTCTATTTTTATCGGAACCTACGATACCGAGTATCTTATAATATGTTTTGGTGAATTTAGAAAGAAGGTTAAGTAAAGTGAGATTTTTTTTGGGAATATATGGGGATAGAGTTTCCCGGGAAGTTAGAGGTTCGAACCAAAAGTCATAAAAGATGAACGAAAGAAATGTGCTACATTTGATATTGGCCGGATCACTTGTTTTTAGCTATATATAAAATAAAGGCTACAAATGTTTCGAATGTAGTATTGTCGCTTTTGAAACATATCAACATCTTTAACAAAAACAAGAAACATATCAACGTAATTAATCCACAATGAAACTGAATAAGACTAATTAAGATTTATAGATCGAACTAACTGCACTTGATTTGACTATAATTGCCATCTTTTTATTGGATTGCTTTTTGTATTAGTAGCTAGTGGATACTTTTATTCTGAAAGAGAGATAGGATTACATACTGACACTGATCACACATATAAATACAAAAATCAATTACAACACTGACCCCTTGATCTAACCATCTAAAAACAAATCATTTGTACATTATTTCAAAATAGGTTTGTTCCGTCGTTAACTTTAATCACATGTATAATCTCTAGGTTTCTGGACAATTATTAAGGTTTACGAACTTGACAACCCCCAAGTACACCATTAGCAGCTTCATGTAGCTTAGGATCCGGAGACTTAAGGGATTTAGAGATACATGATGTCGAGTTTTTAAGTTTCTTACAACATGCTTCTCCGTATTTAGGATAAAAGGCAGTTCCTGTATTGATACAAGGTGATCTAAGCTCTTCCCAACATGCTGGTGGCATTGGCGTATTTGTACAAGTGGGTTGTTGATAACGACAACCTCTAAGTACACCATTAGCAGCTTTTCTTACCAAAGGATCCTTGTTCGTAAGGAATTTGCACATACAGTGTATTGTGTTTTTAAATTTCTCACAACATGGCCCTCCGTTTTTAGGCTCCCCCTCGCCTTTGTATATATGCCTAGTGATGCAATCTCTAACCTCCACTTTGCATTCTTTTGGTATATCCTCCATCTTTGGCAGCTCCTCCTTAGGCTCAGGCTTGTCGGGTATTACTTTACCCATTACATAGCCCGTGCCAATTCCACCAGCCATATAGCACTACAAGAAAACATCCGCTTTTAGACGGTTATATCCGTCTGTAATCTGTCGGAAAAAGCTTTTCCAGACGGATTTCCGACAAAAACAGGTCGTCGGGATCATCTCGTCAGAAAAAAATATCCGTCGGAAATTCATCGGGTATTTCCGACGGAATACCGACGACTTCAACTACTCGACGAATTCCCGAGGACAAAACTTTTCCGACGGATTCCTGACGACGCAATTTTCCTGACGGATTCCCGAGGAAGCATTGTTCCGACGGATTCCCGACGGTTTTATAAACCAAGGAGTTTCCGATGGTTTTGATTTTGTCGGAGTTTCATTTCCGACGGAAACTCGACGAACTTGACGATTTTTGTTTCCTGATGGATTTCCGACGGTCATCATTTCCCACGAATTTCCAACGGTCTTTTTTTGTTAGTACCGACGATTTTCCGACGGTAAAAGAAAAATTAAAAAAAAAAATTTAAAAACATTAATTCAGAGAAATAAAATTGTAAATTAAATATAAATAAAACTGAAATTTATAAATATAATGAAAATATTTTAACAATTTTTAAAATTCAAATATTCAAATAACAAAAAAAAACAATAATCTAAGTTTCTAGATTTTCCGTTCCCGAACTTTCGAATCCCGGGAAGTCAGGAAACCTCGCCTTCATCCAACTTGCCATGGTTGCGACTTCCGATCTGGTTGTAGTAAGCTCCGATTTGGTCGTAGTGAGCTCTTGTTGTGTTGCATCTAACTTGTGCTCCAAATCCGCTGCTTTTGCCTTGAGCTCTTCGTTTTGCTCGACGATATCTTCGGGATAAGAAGAAGAACCGAAAGATTCTTGACTTGAGACAACATTACCCAAACCACGTCGACGTCCTTTCTTCAACGGAAGCTCCTGCACAATTAAAACAATAAGTTGTTAATACCAACAGCAAATGTAGACAAAAAAAAAATTAAAGGTACACAAACCAAGAAAACTTACTTCGCGAACCAAAACGGGGTTTATCCATCCATGATCGAAAATAATTATATGGGTTTGGGTTTGAAGAAGACATGTTCTTTCACCCTTGATTTGTATGTTGGGAATGAGAAAGAAGAGGTATTTATAGCAAAACCTGATTTCATTTCCGAGCGTATTCCGACCGATTTCTGACGAAACAAAACGGCTAGAAACGGCTAGTTCAACGGATACAACAACGGCTAGATCTAATAATTCCGTCGGAAATCTGTCGGGAAAGTTGAAAATTTAAAAAGAATTGAATTCCGTCGGATATCCGTCGGAAATTTCCGACGGATTACCCACGGAATTGTATTTTTTTTTTGAATTTTCAACTTTTTAGAAATCCGTGGAAAATCCGTCGGGAATTTACCGACGGATGTCCGACAAAACCTTAAAAAACGACCATTTCAATAATCCGTCGGAAATCAGTTGGGAATTACGACCGATTTCCGTTTAACTTCTTCTCGTCGGTATTTTTTAGTTTTTCGTCGGGATTCCGTCGGTAGTTTCCGACGAAATATATTTCGTCGGAAATTTCGTCAGGAATCGTAGTGTTTTCTTGTAGTGTAGCCGCCACCGCCACGGCTACCGCCACCCCCACCGCCACGGTGCCTGCCGGTGACGGGTATGATGATGACAATGAGCATCAATGCAATGATCTTCATTTTTAATGAATTAGTAGCTATTTAATTTGTAGAAATTATCTCTGCTTATATTTTATTTTGTTTTAGGTCTTTAAATAGGAGATTGCAACCTATGGTTCATAAAAAAGACATGGAAATATGAAAAGTGGGAATCGATTCCTATAAAGAAGGGAGGATTTGATTCTTGGAAAAAAAAAAAAGGGACGATCATAATTCTGTTACTTCGTATAGTTTTCAGAGCTCAAAGACCAGAGTAGAACTGAATAGTTCATGTATATTAATCATAAGAAAGTGGCCTTATAAAGACCTTACAAAGAAACAAACTTGACCGAATCTAAAGCAACAAATTTTTAAACAACTCCTACATTCTCGGATGACTTATTCAAACTTTGAACCATTCAAACAAACTCTGAGCTCTTCTAACGGCTCTGTTTTATTCTTCATTCCCTCCCTTAAACTGAAAATACTCCTTTCAGTTTATTCTTCCTTTACGCAGACACCCATTTCTCCTCTGAGCTTCTCAAAGACTTCCAACTTCACGGCTTTTGTCATAATGTCAGACAGTTGATCTTGTGTTGGACAATAATCAAGTCGTATCACCCCATCATTCACCAACTCACGCAGAAAGTGAAACCTCACATGTATGTGCTTGCTTCGCCCATGTAGCACTGGATTTTTTGACAATTTGATAGTGGAACTATTATCACAGTATAGAACAGTACCTTCTCCTTGATCCAAACCGAGATCCCTAAGCACATTCCTCATCCAAACTGCTTGACATGCTCCATACGCACCTGCTACAAACTCAGCTTCAGTAGTGGACAAGGTAACGATTGGTTGCTTCTTAGAGGCCCATGAAACAGCTCCACCACCTAACATGAACACATATCCAGAAGTACTCTTTCTGTCATTCGTATCTCCGGCATAGTCACTGTCCACAAAGCCGACCAGCCTATGTTCTCCTCCAAGTTTGTATCGAATACCGTATGTAGTTGTGCCCTGCACATATCTCAGAATCCTCTTAGCCGCCATCAAATGCTGCTCAGTTGGTTTCTCCATATATCTACTGATCAGATTCACCGAGTACATCAAGTCTGGTCTAGTAGCTGTCAAGTATCTCAGACTCCCAACTAACTGCTTGTACCTCGTCGCATCAACAAGCTCTCCTGCTCCTTCCTTTGACAGTTTATGCCCTGGAACCATCGGATTCTTGACAGAGTTACAGTCTTCCATTCCAAATTTCTGCAGGATTTCCTCAGCATACTTTTGTTGGCAGATGAAGATTCCTTTGTCATCTTGAATCACCTCTACACCCAAGAAAAATTTCATCCTTCCCAAATCTGTCATCTTGAATTCCAGCATCATGGAACTTTTAAACATTTCCAGCATTGCATCCGAGTTCCCAGTGTATATTAAGTCATCGACATAGAGACTTATCAGCAGAATATTTTTCCAGTTTCTTTTCACAAACAGAGTGTGCTCACAATAGCATTTCTCAAAACCTTCTTGCACAAAATACCTTTCTATGCGGCTATACCAAGCCCTTGGCGCTTGTTTCAGCCCATAGAGGGCTCTATTCAACTTATACACCTTTTCTGCATCACCTTCCACCACAAAGCCCTCAGGTTGTTCGACGTAAACATCCTCCTCTAAAGTGCCATGTAGAAAAGCAATTTTAACATCTAGTTGAAATACCTTCCAACTCTTCTCAGCCGCAACTGCAAGGATCGTTCTGATTGTGTCCCATCTAGTCACTGGAGCAAAAACTTCATAGAAGTCCACTCCTTGCTTCTGGTGATACCCCTTAGCCACCAGTCTGGCTTTAAACTTATCGACCTCTCCTTTTTCATTGAATTTGGTCTTGTAGACCCATTTAACTCCGATAACCTTTGCTTCTTTTGGCAGATCCATCAGCTCCCATGTATTATTTTCCTCTATAGCCACAATGGCTTTCCTCCACACTTCTTGTTGAACTGCATCTTCGAAAGTTTCTGGATCATCTGGGGCTATGAACATTGCAAGAAGTCTGTCTCCATTCTCTCCCTCCTCTGATACAAGAATCCCCGCACCGCTTGTATCAAAATCTTTAAACCATACTGGTCTTCTCACCTGCCTCTTACTTCCCTCTCTATTCAACATTTGTTATGTCTGCACTCGTTCTCCAGCTACTGTACCGTCTCCTTCTACTGCTTGTGCTCCTTCGACACCTGCTTCTCCTTCTGTATTCTCATTTGGCTCCTCGTTTACAGCTCCATTAGTTTCAACCCCTTGATCTGTCTCTGCATCTTCGCACAAGAGCTCACCATTCTGTCCTTCTTCATCCCAGTTCCACCCTTTTCCTTCATCGAAGTGTACATCTCTACTAATCACAATCTTCTTTGTCTCAGGGTTGTACAAACGATAGGCTTTAGACTCTTTGCTCACTCCAAACATCACGCATTTGGTGCTCTTTTCATCCAGCTTGATCCGTTTCTGATATGGCACCAATGCATAAGCAACACATCCAAAGATCCTAAGGTGATCCACTGTTGGCTTATGGCTGCTCCATTTTTCTTGTGGCGTGACATCTCCTACAGCAGCTGATGGACACCGATTCAGTATGTGCACTGCATACTGAGCTGCCTCAGGCCAAAACCTTCTTGGCACAGATCTTTCCAACAGTAAACACCTTGTCATGTTCATAATGCTCCTATTCTTCCTCTCTGCAACCCCATTCTACTGTGGTGTATATGCTGCAGTGAGATGTCTTTTGATTCCCTTTTCCCTGCAGTAATCGTCAAAATCCTTGGACTTATACTCTCCTCCTCGATCCGTCCTCAAACAGATCAGTTTCTGTCCAAGTTCTCTCTCTACTGCAGCTTGGAACTCCTTGAACACATTGAATGCATCAGATTTTTCTGACAGAAATAATGTCCAGCACTTTCTGCTAAAGTCATCAATAAAATTGATGATGTATCTCTTCCCACTCTCTGACATTGGCGTTATTGGACCACAAATGTCACTATGTACCAGCTCCAACCCTCGGCTTGACTTCCACATGCTTTTCCTTGGTATGGTTTCACGAATCTGTTTACCCTTTAAGCAGACATCACACGTTGATGCCTCTGTCTCCACTTTGTCAAGACTTGGAAGCCCATTCACCATATTCTTCTCTGCCAATGCTCTTAGTCCTCTATGACCAAGATGCCCCAATCTCTTATGCCACAGCCGATCTGTTTTCTCCATCACCTGCAGGCAGTGATTCTCTGCTCCTTCTCTAGCTCCTTTCACTTTTGCCAAGATGATGAACATGCGGTTTTTAGTCATGAGAGAATGCATGACTAGCCTCTTTTGTCGTTTGCTCCAGACCTCACACACGTCATCCTCAATGACAATCTTTAATCCTTTCTCCTGCAGTTGCCCTACACTGAACAGGTTGTTCCTCAATCCTGGAACATAGTAAGCTGATGTGATCACCGGATCACTCCATTGATCTCAAGCCTCAGACTCCCTTTTCCTTCCACGGTCATTCTTCTGTCATCTCCAAGCTTCACTGTTTGACAGAAACTGGTGTCAAGATCAATGAACCAGTCTCTATTCCCACACATATGGTTGCTGCAGCCTGAATCCAAGAACCAGATGTGTTCATTCTCCTCTTTTACCATGTTTATATGAGCCATTAACAACATGTCTTCCTCCATTTCTGCGTAATTAGCCTCTTTCTCCCATTCCGGACACTCAGCCTTGTAATGTCCCTTTTTGTGACACTTGAAGCACTCCACCTGCTCCTTATTATAACTGGAGCTTCCTCGGCCACGACCCTGATATCCTCCTCTTCCTCTTCCTCTGCCACGGCCTCTTCCTCCATCGTTTCTCCATTGTGCCTCAGCCTTTAAGACCTGATCATCCCCTTCATGTCTGCTCAGGTTTTGTTCATGCACCATTAATGAGCTTTGCAACCCATCGACTGTCAGATCCTTGATATCGTTTGATTCCTCTATTGCACAAACCACATATGTGAACTTCTCAACCAAAGTTCTCAAGATCTTCTCCACCATCTTCGAGTCTGGTATCTCCTCTCCCAGATTACGCATATTGTTAGTGACTTCCATCACTCTGGAGAAGTATCCGGTTATGGTTTCTCCGATCTTCATTTCCAACACCTCAAAGCTTCTCCTGAGTCTTTGCAGCTGTGCACTCTGTACCCGAGTGGCGAGTGTTTCCCTGATACTTGTTCTTCATTGACTCCCACAGGTCTTTCGAAGTATCCTTCTTCATGATCGTCTTAAGAATCGTCTTATCTATAGAAGCAAATAGATAATTTTTCACCTTGTGATCAGTGATGGTTTTTGCGGCAATCCTCTCGAGTAGCTCGGCTCTCTGTTGCCCGGAATAGACCACATTCCTCTCCTGACGTGGAATCCCTTCTTCAATAAGATCCCACCATTCTTTGGACCTCAGTAGATTCTCCATGAGCATGGCCCAGTGCTCATAATCTCCATCGAATTTTGGAATGATCAATGCTTCTTTCTCACTCATCTCTCCTCTCTTTAGGTTCGTTCAAGCTCTAATACCACTGTTACTTCTTATAGTTTTCAGAGCTCAAAGACCAGAGTAGAACTGAATAGTTCATGTATATTAATCATAAGAAAGTGGCCTTATAAAGACCTTACAAAGAAACAAACTTGACCGAATCTAAAGCAACAAATTTTTAAACAACTCCTACATTCTCGGATGACTTATTCAAACTTTGAACCATTCAAACAAACTCTGAGCTCTTCTAACGGCTCTGTTTTATTCTTCAAATTCACTATATTTGATAGCTTCTTCCTAATTAGTCCTCTTTATGTGGAGATTGAGTTGTTGATTTAGAGGTTGTCCACGTGCTATTAAACGAACCTAAAGTTTTCGATGGTATGATTATTTCATGAACTTGTTTCAATGAAACGTTCATACTCTGAATATTAACAAAGTTAGATCGAAGAGAAGGAGCAAGAGTGTTTCCCTGCATTTTAGGCTCATCAATTTTCCTTCAAAACCTCATTCTCTCATCCATTGTGATAGCCTTGAGACTATATAAGGTTATACATTTGAATGATGGGCTTTGCATAAGGTTTAGGTAAAAGTTACGCTTCAAAACTAAATGAGCTGTATTTGTTTTGGCTTACAGTTCTCTAATTTACACTTAATAAATAAAATGATTCATTGCAAAAAAAATAGCACAACAACAAAAAAACACATACAAAAAAGACATGTGATATCCTCAACTTAATCTAATCTGGTTCTTTGACCCAAAAGAAAAAAAGTCTAATCTGGTTCAGAAAGTAAAATACACAAAACCCAAATTCCACACAAAACACTCTCCAAGAAATTAAAAAGAAATAATCTAAAGGAGGTTTGTTGTAATATAATTTTCATAAAACAAAGAAAAATTGGGTTTACGAGAGGAGAGGGACATGTGACGCGAGGCCTTCCTCTTCATCTGCAGCAATCACACTTGAGCCGTTGCTTAAACCGACCGGTTTGGCATTTCTATAAATTCCATAAAGTATGAGTTGCATTGTCCCGAACACAAACCCCACTCCATTTGGCACCTAATCAGTTTAACCACAAAATTAATTGAATTTAATTAATTGATCGTAAATAAATTATTCTGAATAGCATATTACTAAGTTCAACGCCTATCCGAAATCTCAAGAAGACGCATTTACAAAATTAAATGACCCCACAAAATAGTGGTTGTTGCATATTAGACCAAGACACTTCTTAAAAAAGACTATTATCTGAAAAAATCGCCAAAAGATCATTGGTTTGATGTTGGAGACCTGGAGTCCACAATTTTTTCAAGTCATTATGCATAAATCGTGATTTTTTCTCAGATATATATTTTTTTTTAAAATGTGGCATTGACAGTGACATGAACGGAGTTGATTACGGCGTCAAAAAACGACAAAATATGTTGGTGTTAGTGTTAGAATATCGAAGAGACATGGGGTCGATGAAATAGCTTTAACAGTGTAACTATATTTCAATTTTCAAGTATCCCTGTTTTGTCTTCTATATGTGTTGAAGGAGAACCATAAAATGACTAATAAGTGAACCACACAGTAAAACGTTACTTACGAGTAGAAAAATGTCATGTTGGAGTGAAGCGTAAACGCCCCAAATCGCGCCGTTTAAGAAGAGGAAAAACGACAACCAAAACGGCATGTATTTCACGCTCTTTGTCGTCACTACTGTTTTCTGCATAAAAACAATACTATTAGTCTATAGCTATGTTATAAGTTATAAGTTATTAACCAATAGGGGTTATAAACAGATATTTATATGAGATAAGCTCAAAAACATATATTCTAATTACATTTTTGCCCGAAATGCGAAAATGAAAATAATAAGTACGGTATGTCTTTTTCTAAGATTTGTATTAATAATGGACCCACCAAGTCATGGTTGCATTATTAATACAACTGTGGGGTACATAGAGGAGATGGCAATGACGATTTTTATTCAAATATAAACGTGAAAAATCTAATGACGTACAAGTTATATAATTGATATCTGAGTGCGAATTCTTAAAGACGTGTGCCTAAAAAATGCCATATAGTGTGGTTGGTTTATGATGATTGCATGCATGATCAAAAATAACGTTTATATTTCCCCAAAAAAAAAAACCGTTACTAAAATGACCAAATTAATACCACCAAAAATAACCACTGAACTTATTTTCTTCAACAAAATGATTCTATTATAGACGATATTCAAATACCATTAACTAAAAGACAAGATAAATGAGTAAACTACAAACTCCAAAAGGAATCATTATGCCTTTATACAACATATTAGTCTTTATACCAGGTGGGTCGTTTTTAATTATGGACGGCTAAACTTTTGTTTGGAATAATACTAATTAAAATAATCTTGTTATAACACATATCATATATCATATATGAACTCTTATACCGGCCCATTAGGCCCATCAGGGCATTGTACTTAACCTAGATTCCCTATGTACTCTATATATACATTCCAGTGATTAATAAAGTTTCTAAGTTTTCACAACACGTTATCAGCACGATAAGACTCTCTGAGCGAAAAACCCTAATAAATCCGGCCATCACCAAAACCCTAAAAGCAAGTCGAAACTTAAAAGACGCATATCTTCCAAACCGTGAGGAACCAGAAGACGATCTACATATCAAATCGAAGCCCTCGACGAGACGAATCTACTGGTGAAAACCGTTTGTCGATCCAACGTCGGACGCGCCCTCACGCACACTTACAGTACACGACGATCAACCGAAAAAAAAAAAACCAAATCCGAGTTTTTCCTTCTTCAACCAGCAGCTTCTCCAGTTTTGGTGATCAATCCTTGGAATTTGTAGCGGCTAACTGAGGTCTATTAGCTCCCAGTTTCATTAGCCTGTCAGAAATCCAAAGGTGGAAAAGCACACTAGCAAATGGAAACCATAGTCGTAGATAGTGGATCCAGCCACACTATCTTAAGAAACAAAAGTTACTTCATAAACCTAACCTATCAAACCGCAAATATTAGCACCATCGCGGGTCCCTCAAACCTTATCGAAGGATATGGCCATGCCTATGTGTTGCTATCAAATGGCACACAACTTGAAATACCAGATGCTCTATATTCTCCTAGTTCGAAGAGAAATCTTCTGAGCTTCAAGGATATAAGACAGAATGGTTTCCACATAGAAACCCAAGGTCAAGGGAACAAAGAATCCCTCCTAGTCACTAAAACCGTAGACGGCCATAAACAAATCCTCGAAACCATACCCGCGCTCTCTACTGGACTTTACCATGCTAAAGTCAGTATGATTGAAGCTAATACCACTCTCAAAGCCCGGTTTACTGATTATACTATTTGGCACGACCGGCTCGGTCATCCCGGTGCAAATATGATGCGTAAACTAATTCAAAACTTTCAAGGGCATACCCTCAAAGAAAACCGAGCTTATCCTCAACACCTCATGTGCACAGCTTGTTCTCAAGGCAAATTGATCTCTCGGCCTTCACCAGTTAAAATCTCTAAACAAACACTTCATTTCCTAGAAAGAATCCAGGGCGATATCTGTGGACCTATACATCCATCTTCCGGACCATTCCGGTACTTCATGGTCCTTATAGACGCATCGACCCGTTGGTCATATGTTTGTCTCTTGTCCTCTCGGAACCAAGCCTTCGCTAGGTTCTTGGCCCAAATCATAAAATTGCGGGCCCATTTCCCTGACTTCCCACTAAAGACTATCCGCCTTGACAATGCTGGTGAATTTACCTCACAAGCGTTTAATGACTACTGTATGGCCATGGGGGTAACCGTGGAACATCCTGTAGCACATGTCCATACTCAAAATGGATTGGCTGAATCATTCATTAAACGCATTCAATGGATAGCCCGACCATTACTCATGAGATCAAAGCTCCCGGCCTCAGCATGGGGACATGCAGTATTACATGCTGCTGAACTCATACGCATCCGGCCATCTAGTGAACACAAATATTCCCCATCCCAACTACTCTCGGGTCATGAGCCAGACATCTCCCATCTCAAAACATTTGGGTGTTCAGTATATGTACCCATTGCTCCACCACATCGAACCAAAATGGGACCTCAAAGTAGGATGGGAATATATGTTGGTTTTGACTCTCCCACCATCATAAGATATCTCGAGCCAACCACTGGAGATCTCTTCAAGGCCAGATATGCGGATTGCCAATTCGATGAATCGGTATATCCCTCTTTAGGTGGTGAGACAAACAAGCTGGTCAAAGATCTTTCATGGAATCAAACATCATTAAATTGGCAAGATCCTCGGACTCTAGAATGTGATTCAGAGATCCAAAAGATTATTCATTATCAAAAGCTAGATAATCAATTGCCAGATTCCTTTGCTGACCCGACCAAAGTAACCAAATCGTACATCCCAGCTTGTAATGCACCAGTACGAATAGCTGTCCCAACGGGACAGACCCAAGTTGCTACAGAGTCTGCACCATGTCTCAAACGGGGCAGACCTCTCGGTTCCAAAGATAAGAATCCCCGGAAATCAAAGAAAGGTGCAATAACCGAAACCGGGATTCCTGCAATATCAGACATAGCCGCGGCTGAGACTCAATCTAATGAACCCTCAATGGAAGTTCGGGACGCCGAATCTCCAGGTTCAGAAGATAACAATGAGATCTCCATCAATTACAATATGTCCGGAATACAATGGAATCGAAAAGAAGTCGACTTAAATGCACTCTTTGCATACAAAGTAGCACTTGATGTTGCGCTCACGCAAGAGGATCTAGAACCCACGTCAATAACATAGTGTACACATCGAACAGATTGGCTAAAATGGAAAGAAGCCATAAACGTGGAGTTAAAGAGTCTCAAACTCAGAAACGTGTTCGGTCCGATCATCCGGACCCCATCACACATCAAGCCTGTGGGCCACAAATGGGTCTTTGTGCGCAAAAGGAACGAACTCGGTGAAGTCGTTCGATACAAAGCACGGCTTGTAGCACAAGGATTCTCACAGAGACCCGGAATCGATTATGAGGAGACTTATTCTCCAGTGGTGGATGCAACAACATTCCGATTCCTCATAAGTCTGGCCATAAGAGAAAATCTTGATCTGCGGTTAATGGATGTTGTAACCGCATATCTCTATGGTCCCCTGGACAACGAAATATATATGAGACTCCCAGATGGCATTGAACTAAAAAAATGCATCTCGAGATCAATACTGCATCAGGCTGAACAAATCCTTGTATGGACTGAAACAAAGTGGGCGTATGTGGTACAACCGCCTCAGCGATTACCTCATCCAAGAAGGCTACAAAAATGACCCCATCAGTCCATGCATCTTCATCAATAAGTACTCAAACAAAGGATTTGTAATCATAGCAGTATACGTGGATGATCTAAACATCCTCGGAACATCTGGTGAGATCTCCCAAACAGTCGACTGCTTAAAAGCAGAATTCGAAATGAAAGACCTAGGCAAAACAAAGTACTGTTTGGGATTACAACTTGAGTACATCAAAGGAGGAATCCTTGTGCATCAATCGGCTTATATCGAAAAGGTACTCAAGCGATTTAATATGGACCAAGCTCACCCATTGACCAGCCCAATGGTAGTTAGAAGCTTAAGTGATGACCCTCTTGGTCCCAAAAAGGATGATGAAGAAATCCTTGGTCCTGAAAAACCATACCTCAGTGCTGTAGGAGCGTTAATGTACCTGGCTAGTCACACTAGACCAGACATATGTTTCGCCGTGAACCTCCTCGCTCGATATAGTTCATCTCCAACTCAGAGGCACTGGAACGGTATAAAACATCTCCTAAGATACCTTCGAGGTACTCAAGACTTAGGACTCTTCTATACTAACCAAAATAAAGATGGGTTAGTCGGCTTCGCCGATGCAGGATATCTATCAGATCCGCACACTGCCAAGTCTCAAACTGGCTACGTTTTTACGCATGGAGGAACAGCCATCTCTTGGAGATCAATGAAGCAGACACTCACTGCCACTTCATCAAACCATGCTGAAATCCTAGCCATTCATGACGCTAGTAGGGAATGCGTCTGGCTGCGCTCCATGACTCAGCACATCCGCAGAGATTGTGGTATGGACGAAGACACACAGCCCACGGTGATGTATGAAGACAACGCGGCATGCATAGCTCAGCTCAAGGAAGGATATATCAAAGGAGATCGGACGAAGCACATTCTACCGAAGTTCTTCTCAACCTCAGACTGGCAGAAGGACGGCACTCTCAGCGTTCAGCAGGTCCGATCCAGTGAGAATTCAGCTGACCTCTTCACCAAATCATTGCCTACTTCAACACACCGGAAGCTCGTCAAACAGATAGGAATGTATAGACTTAGAGATCTGCAGTGATGCTACAATCAGGGGGAGTAATGCGTGTTGTACTCTTTTTCCTTCACCATGGTTTTGTCCCACTGGGTTTTTCCTGGTAAGGTTTTAATGAGGCAACATTCCCCAGCGCATTATCGAGATCCCGATTGAGTAGCTGACCCGGTTCACTCGTCCAAGGGGGAGTGTTATAACACATATCATATATGGACTCTTATACCGGCCCATTAGGCCCATCAGGGCATTGTACTTAACCTAGATTCCCTATGTACTCTATATATACATTCCAGTGATTAATAAAGTTTCTAAGAAGTTTTCACAACAGTTTAATGATTCATACTAATATTTGTTTTAAAAAATAAAATTCTGCATAACTCACGGATAATAAATGTTGTTTCACTTAATTAAAAACAAAATAACGCTTGCCTTCCATGATTGTTGTCAATAAACATGCAAGACGATAATTTAGGCTTCATGGTTGTTTCATGACATTTCGCATCTAATTTAGCCCTTCAAGACATGCATGCATCCATTGAAAAACTAAATACTTGAACAGTTGAACTGGTCCTCTTGCCCCAAAGTCCATACACCTATATTTGTCTTGTCTACCATAAATCATAGTCCTGGTCCTTTGTACTATTAATAGAAAACCTATATATAAGAATAGGGAAATTAATATAGTTATATATATTTAAAGTAACAAATTTAAGATCTAAACATCTACATATCCTAAAAACAAAAAAAAAACAAAACAAAATGAAAACTCTCTCAATCTTTCTATTTGTTCTTAACATCTGCATGATTAGCCATGTATATGGACAATCAGTAGGTGCCGGATTCAATTTACTCGAACGAACTTCAAAATAAGAAAAAACTTTGGTTTAGCTGTTACTCTGGAGACGACAGGATAGCTCCAGGAACACTAGAACCCGGAGCAAGTTGGGGCAGAAATTTTAAGACTAACATTTGGGGGAATACACGGTTCATGTGTACGTTGAAACAAGGGCCTAACTATAGACATCATCAGAGCTTTACAGCATTTAAACAGGAAAGTTTTAAAGATGTACTGGAAGCAGGTGGGATTGGAGAGCCAGAGAAAATGGCATTTATTTGAAAGTGTGGGGCGGTAAAGATTCAAGAAGCAAGGTCAATATGCATAAAAAGTATGATTGGATATATTAGTACTCTCCCCGTTCTAAAATAACTGATGTTTTAGAGGATTTTTTTCTTTCACAAATAAGTAATGTTCTCATTTATCAAAGCAAATTTAATTAATTATTATTATTTTTGACTTTTATATTCTACAAATTATTCTTTCATTGGTTGTATTATATTGAAAATGATAAAATTAAAGTTTTAGTATAGGAAAAAATAGAAATTAAATTCTTAATTTATGTGTCCAATGCAAAAACATCATTTAATTAAAAAATATGGAGTATTTGAGAATTAATACAAGTTTTCAGTTTCTTCATTATCACCTAAGAATCATTATTATACAATACTCCCTCTGTTTCACAAATAGTGTCATTTTAAAATTTTATTTTTGTTTCACAAAAAGTATATTTTTCTATTTTCAATGCAGAATTTTAATAATATACCTTTTTAACTCTATTGATTTAATGTATTAGTTAGAAAAAATTATTTAATAAGGGTCAAAGTAGTATTTTTAATAGTTTTCTTAATATGTGGAGAAAATATCAGAATGACATTTTTTATGAAAAAAAGATAGTATAATAACAACATGTGCGTAAGAATCATTATTGTCTTTTCTTTTCTTTTTTTAGTCAAATCATCTATAAGTATTCCCTTTGTTTTAATATATAAGTCGTTTTAGGATTGATTTTTTATTTCAAAATATAAGTATTTTTTGGTTTCCAATGCAAAGATTTATTAAAAAAATCCACTTTTATCCTTATACTTATAGCTAATTAATTAGTATAAAAATTAATTCGTATATTAATAAAAAGTAAAATAGACAATTAAATTGTTTTTTTAATATGTGTGAAAAAATTTTAAAAATGAATTATATTTTATAATATATAAAGTATTATTTAAAGTTTTTTCACACTGATTAAGAATTATTTATTTTTATTTTTTCTATACTAAAAACTTCATTTATTGTCAATAAACACGCCTGATCGATTGTCAATAAACACGCCTGATCGATTGTTTAAAATATTTACGCAATTTCAGGAAAAAGGGCCCAAAAGGATATGAACAATGTCAATAAACACGCCTGATCGATTGTTTAAAATACAAAACACTGAATTTGACAATTCTTTCCGGTTAAAACATTTTTTTGATAGCGACAGATAAATTTATAAATTAGTTATATAAAGGGGAAGATTTTTCTTTCAAAACGTGGGTATTATAAAACAGTTATACACCATATGTTATTATATAAAATTTGGACATACAATACAAGTGAAAATTAAGAATGAACTTACCATAGCAGAAAGAGGAGATCCATACATTACAATGTTTAGACCGGCACATATGAAACCCATCGATTGAGAACGCGTTTTCTCATCTTTAAACGCACTTCTCGTGGCAGCAATCGCTGCGATTGGGAAAAGGACGTTCAACAACGATACCACTACGATTGTATTCAACTGTTAAAAACAAAAAATAGGAGACATTAGTATATTTGAATATAGATAAAATTCACTTACATCAACTATAAACACTTTGTAAAATGTATAAGTACGTTATAAATTCTTACTTTACAAGTCATCATAGTATTTATTATAACAAGTGGATCACATATTTTAATCAACTTAACTTCAAAAAATGTGTGATACAGAAAACTGATATTCAGATCCAAATCTGAATAATTACATCAAATAATATACTGATTTTAACCAGCTATTATATAAGAAACACAGAATATCAAGAAAATCAGATAGATAGAGAGAGAGTATATATCATATCTATGATAAAAAAGAAAAATGAAAATGAAATAAAAACCTTGAGATGTCGAGGGGCATTAAAGAGAAAGAGTGAGACATAGATGATTTCAACAAGAGCACCAAAGCCATTGACGGTGGAGACAAGGTATTCTCCGGGAGTGACTATGCCGTAATATGTCCATAGCGACGATCCTAACAACGTGCAGATGTACGGCAAGCTCTTATACTCCTCCGTCGATTTTCGCTTCACTATCTTCCAAAATGTCTCCCTGAGTTTTTGTATGTTGGACCAATCGATCAGTAATAAAATATATATATATATATATATATATGTATATATCAAATCTTAAAATTTTGTTACTTCTTCCAAAATCTAGAGAGAGAGCTCACACTGGTGAGAGGAAGACGAGTATGGAGATTACATTTCCTGCGTCAAACACAAATTACAAGAGGTATTGTCATAATTCGTGAACACGAGTGTATATACATGTAGAGATATAAGCACACGTGCGAAGAAGGGTGTTTACCTATGATTCCGATGTAGAAACTTGTCTCTACCATTTCTGGAGACAAGAGGTTCTGAAGAAAAAGAAAGAAAAAAAAGAGAAAAAGAGGAGAATGAGACTATGAGAGAGAGAGTGTGTGTGTGAGAGAGAGGAGAAAGAGGAGGCTAATTTATTTGGAGGAACGTGACCACTTTGTTTTATATTTTTTGGGCGGGTTTTGTAATGTTATTTATTTATTTTTTATTTGTTCACACTATAATATATTCAACTGGTATATTGACGTAAATAGATATTATTAGATGAATGAGAGAATAAAACCAAAATAAACGAGTTGGATGTTTTAGGAATGTAATTTCTTATATTGACGTAGATAGCTAATTAGGTTAAACACAGTATTTAGTTAAATTCAAGTTTTTTTCCATGCATGCTATTACAAAAGGTTACCGGATCAATACATGTAATGTTTTGCTAAACTATCGTGCTTACTGGCAACAATTTTATTTATACTATTATAACAGAATATTTTTAGAATGTGCTACCCAACATCCTTATTTTTGAGTTAAATATATTATCAAATATTTATTCAATCTTCATAAATTAAGCATATTTAAGTTAATAACATTTAACTTATTTTAAAAAAAAATTATTTCATATTTAATTTATGAAAAATTATTTTATTTGGACGCATGGATTAAATTCTAATTTAAGATAAATGTTAAACTATATGAAGAAAAATGATGTGTTGTACTATTATCAAATTATGTATAGTAATGGACAGTAGACCCTTTACTTAATTAAACTAACACATTCATTATGTAATGGGGTCTTGCCTTAGTGATAAATTCTTTCCAACCAAAATAAATAATAATAATAATAACACATGTGCCATGTGGTGGCTAAGGCTATATTCGTGGCTACATAATTTTACCTCTTTTTCTTTAGCTTGAAAAACTTTTTCTTCTCTGTGCTAAATAATTTTTTCCTATTAAAAGAGTGATCTAAGGTTTCCCAAATTTCTTAAATAAATTAGTTGGATTGTTAATCAAAGGAAAGCAAGGGTATAGTTGGTACGTATCTCTCATTGAGATACTCCATTTTGGTCTCTAATTAATTTCCCAAATTTCTTAAATAAATTAGTTAGATTGTTAATCAAAGGAAAGCAAGGGTATAGTTGGTATCTCTCATTGAAATACTCCACTTTGGTCTCTAATTAACTTCAACCACAACCCTCTATGATTTTGATGTCATTATCAAGACATGAAGACTTTAAATTCACGTAAATACTGATACGTATTGTATGCATATACGATTTTAGCTGGGATCAACAAGGAAGATTAGTTCAATCAGGTTTAAATAGAAGTATAGAACTATCATGTGTAAAATTACATCTCAATCTTAACTTATTGGCTAGAACAAAAAATTGTAAATTTTATAATAGATAATCCAACTACATAAGTGGTGGTACCTAATGGTAAAATGACTTGAAGACAATGTGCCACTCTTTCACCTATGAATTTGACTCTCATTAGAAATATATTCGCTATTATTTAGCAAGTAGAAATAGTACTAAGTTTTAGATCTATTAAAATTTTTAGTAAGTAAGCTATTTGCGGGTTACATTTATCCTTAAAAATATTAGAGAAATACACTCTTCTTGAAAAATTATCTGAGTCCTCATCTAAAATATGTTGGTTGAAAAAACATGTGTGAACTCATGGTGGCCCGCCTCTGGAGGTTGGTGGCTACTGGCTAAGGCAATTTGTTTTCAAGACCACTTCCCTTCAATATCGAAAATACGATTCACTAACATTAACCAAAATAGATGCAAAAAAAAAAAAATACTCAAAACTATACTATATTAAGTGATGTATCATCTATTTTTCAAAATAAATTTTAGTAAATGCCAATAAAAACTTATTGGATAATGGATAGTAATACATTCAAAATTTGTAAGGGTCTCAAGATTTCGCTGTGAAGAAAACATTACAAGATAAAAAATTCGACCAACACATATTTATTTCTTTTCCTAAGTTTTGTAATTTATTTCACTCTTGAAATTTTTGTATAATCTATTGAATTTCCATAAATTATCTATAAATGAACATATTGATTATATGTTCCGAAAATGAAACACTATTCCGAAAATAAGAATAGAAAGTTTAGTTTCTCCAACATATATAGTTAATATGTTCCTGTTTCCAACCTTTAATTATTAATCTTTGAGATAAATAGAACTGAAATACATTCAGACGTAAATATTACTGTAGTAATTAATGTTTAAATACATTCATACCGTTTTGATCTTCTACTTTCGATTTTTTTTTGGCTTTTCATTTGAAGTGATATTTGGTGTGTGATCCGAATGCACTCAGACTTTTTGCCTAATTATTTTTTTCTGCTTTTCACCTCGATAAGTATGTTATATGAACCTTAACCCCAAGTTGAGATCCGACACGAACACAATTATTGTTGTAACAAAATATAAGAGGGGAGGAGAGGGGATTTTACCAAAAAAAATATAATAAGGGAAAAAATTGGTTTCGTTGACAAATGCAGTATAATGGGTTTGAGTTACGAAGACATTAACCTGGAACCAAGTAGACGAAACGTCGACGTTTCATACGAAAGTTTTTATTTTACTTAGAACATGTCCAGTAGTGAACCCTCTTATCGTGTTTATCAGATTAAATAAATAATTTTTTTTTTCGTTTTTGTGATGAACTTTAGTTAAGTTTGAGGTTCCAGTTGTGAACTCGTTAATGGGGTTCATTATTGGAATTTTATATTATTTTTTTTTTGAAAAGTCTTTTTTGTAATTAAAATAAAAATCACTTATTAAAAAAAACAATATATTGCAAACTATAGAAGAATACAATTTATTAAGAAAGAAATTGAAACACACAATTTTTAAAATATAGAAATACTTAAACATTTGTTACACAGATTTTCGATTTTCGATTCAATTAGTGATGAGAGGTGTGTATGACTCACTTTAAAACACAGTTACTTATCATGAACGGCTTAAGCATAATTTACAAAATACATTAAATTGTTTTCAAGGGTTTAAGCGTGTTCCAAAGTAGTGAATAACAAAAGAACATAAAAGATAAATATAGATGAACTAAACCCTAAACCCTAGCGTGCTCCAAAGTATATTCCCGAGCTATTTCATCAAACCCCGCCTTGTCTTCCTTGTACATCTTCGCTTTGTCTTCATCAAAGTAGTCCCCCTCACCCAATTCTGGGTTGCTCAGCATCTCATGAATTTTAGTGAGAATCTTATGGACGGTGTAACTAGGCGAGAAGTAGTCAGTAGTGAGCATCCGTAGGAAGATATGTCCACGATCTCCTACATTGGGGTGAAAGACCTTGGTTCTGAAGAAGACCTTGGGTGGCTTGAACGGGTATTCTGGCGGAAAGTGCATGGCAATTTGGAAGACTCCGTTCTCGTAAGGCGATCCTGCTGGTCCAAAAAGCAGAGCCTCCCAATAACAGATTTTTCCATCAACGGGGCCTAATCAAATGTGTCAAGGAAAAAAAATTAGTACTTAATTAAAACTCGGAATCAACTTATGTAAGCATAATACTACAACGAAATATATGTACTGTAAAGCGGGCTCTTAACCCTCTCAATTTCCTTTTTCTGCTGCGTGAGAGATTTCTCCCAGTACGGGACTGAACTGTTGCTTTGCATCTTCTGCCCAAACAGAAGGGGATCAGTTCAACATCATCATCGATAAGTACTTAACATCGACAATGGCAAAAGGCAAGATGATCAAATCATATAGCAGAAAACATACACCTGAATGATGAAAAGCACATATATCAAACAATATCACATATTATAAACACCAAATCATATCACATATATGTAAGGGAATTACAACCAATTTAGTAAAAGTAAGAAAACGTAAAAAAAGGCAAAGTCAAGTAAACCAATCATGTAAACACCAAGAACAATTAAGTTCATCATCAATAATCAGAACATGTTACTATACTAAATCCGATCATGTAAACAACAACAACAATTCAGTTAATAATCGATAATGGCAAATCCAAGATTGTAATAGCATTTATATCAAACAGAAACGTTTAAAAAAACATTCATATGAACCCGATAAAAGAAAATATGCTTCGACAAGGCCATATGGACAAACACTAATCGTAAACACATTATCAGCTTGTTAATGCATTGTAACATACACACGACTAATGCATATAGAAGAACTAAACTCCAATTTGAACCCCAAAGAAAAGCCCCAATTTATTTCTCCACATTGAAAAAATCCTAATTTCATTGAACAAAAATTCACCAAATAAACAGTATAACATGAATTCGTATTCGAAAGCAAGTGAAAAACGGTTGAATTTTATTGTATTATACCCCAATTGCAACCCCAAATGAAAGCCCCAAAAAATTTTCCCTTTTCAAATGAACCCTAATTTTACCGATTTCAATTTCTTTTCAAATCTCCCAAAATATTAACTTCTAATCGTTTTTGTGTTTGAATGAAGTGAGATGACTCGAAATCGACACTATAACCCAACCTAAACCATCAATTAGAGATTTGAAATTTTTCCCATGAAATTCAAAACCCTAATTTCCCATTATCGAATGAAATCGGGCAAAAAGAAGAGAAAAAACGCTTACTTCGACAATAAATACGGAAGCCCAACCCTTGGTTGTCCAATACACTGGTAAAAGTCGATGGTTTCAAGGAATTTGACGGAGGCGACGAGAATCGCCGTAGGAGAGGAAGAAAGAAAATAAAAAAACTCGTGAAGGAGAAATGAATTTTTGGGAAAATTTTTTTTTTCTTCCCCAAAAATGACATGAAAAATCATCTTCTCACGCTTCGCCATGTGTCTGGGATGCGGATTCATCAAGCTCTTTCGGATGAACCGATCCGTTGAATTTGGGCTTTTTTTCTTTTTTTTTAAAGTCTATTTCGTTTTAAAACTCGAGCCAAATCCGTCCAACAAACCACTACTGGACCTGGTCTTAGTGTGCTCTGACTAGAGAGAGTATATATGTAATTTGTACCCCGACTCGTCCTCGCCGTGCTTTACGGTTTCTCGTCTCTTCTCTTCTCTTCTTTTCTTTTCTGGTTTTAGCTTATTTCTTCAGCATATTCACCGACGAAGGAAAAAATGAGTGACGAGAGGAGGAAGAAGAGTATTAACGGAGGTGCACCGGCGCAAACTATCTCCGATGACCGGAGATCTAGTCTTCCGAAACTTGAAGCTTCTCCACCGCCGGGAAAACGAGCTGTCATCAAGAGTGCTGATATGAAAGAGGATATGCAGAAGGAGGCTATCGATATCGCTATCACCGTTAGTCTACTCTCTCTATCCCTCATTTTCTCCGATTCGTTGTGTGGATACATTCTTCGAATTTAGGGATTTCTTATCTTGATAGTTATAGGGTATGAGTTGATACTGATTGTGCCTTGGGATTTTCAGCAACAGTCACTGAGCTGTTTTAGGATCTCGATTTGATCTTAGTGCGCTCAATATTCGAAAGCTGATTATACGAAGCTCAATTACTGTGTACGGAACTAGATTCGATCTCTTGTTACAGGCTATGGAACTTTTTTTTTTTTTCTGAATCCCAATCGTTTGGTTCAACTTAGAGTCTCTGGAAGTAACTCTGTGAGTGATTATGTATAGTCGCTACATGAAGCTTTACATTTCAGATTCTGAGATTCAATTTTGCAGGCATTTGAGAATTACAGTGTGGAGAAGGATATAGCTGAGAATATAAAGAAGGAGTTTGACAAGAAACATGGTGCTACTTGGCATTGCATTGTTGGTCGCAACTTTGGTTAGTTCCCTCTCAACTTAACTTCTTCTACATTGTTTGAGCAAAAGTGCCCAGTTAGATAGTGATCTCGTAGTAACTCAATCTAGCTTTTAACATATCATCGTCTTTGGCTCATGTAATTTTGCTGCTGCCAATCATTCTTTGATTCTCGACTGGTTAATAGTGATTGAAATCAATCTTTGGTTGCTTCTCTGTTCTTCATAGACTTATTTTGGAAAGGTTGTTACGTCTTGCTTTTGAATGGTTTTTGTGCACCTAGTGTTGGAGAGAGTTTGGGTCGGGTTTGGCCCCATGATATAAGTTTTAAACTGCAGATGATTGATTTCTCGGTATCACCAAGCTATGTACTTCACTGGAATACATTCTTCCTTGTTCAGATCTTCATATGTTCAGTCTTTACTGCTTCCTTGATAAATTACATTTCCTCTGCATTTAGTATATAATTCAATGTTCTATATCATAATGTGGTACCACACATTAGCCTTGCAGATCTAGGATTTGAGCTTTTCTTTTCTAACCAAAAGCATTTGCGTTCTTGTTCATGTGCATTAGATGGTATTACAACAAACAAATAATTTCTAAAACCGTACTGGCTTCTATGATGTGTCGATTAGAATCTGAATGCTGTTTGTGTTTTGTACTTATTCTTCGGTATTTCTCTACTTTGTGTTCTTGCTTATAATCTTTACTCGTTCCTTTACCTTTTCATTTTCCATGCAGGTTCTTATGTAACACACGAGACAAACCATTTCGTTTACTTCTACCTCGACCAAAAAGCTGTTCTGCTCTTCAAGTCGGGTTAAGAATTTGGTCCCATAAAGAAAAAATCGTTGGCAAAAAAATGTGATGTTCGTTCAATCGCATTATTATCATCACGTTGTAGTTAGATTCTTGTTTTGTATGTCTGTGTATGTATGGATTTAAGGCTTTTAACCAGCAAAAATTTGGAGAATAAACCCTTAAAAGTCTTTCAGTACATGTCATGCATCTTCAAATGTATATTTGATTTTACCAAATCAGCTTTGAGAAATCTTAATTCAGGTTTATGGTTGCTTTCTCTTCCTTCTTTTCATTGGTCCAATCGACCAATTGCTATCTCAAATCCTAATTTTTCAAATTCTCAAAACATAAAATTTATATTAGAACCAGAAAATATTATAGATTTATCAAAATTAACGTAATAGTTTACAATAAATGATCCTTACCCCTATATTCAAACCCTATTGAAAAGAAACAGCAAAAAGGACTCTGAATTTAGATAGAAATACCAAACCTCTAAAGATTAAATTCTAATTTCGAAACAATAATCCTAAGGCCTTTCCTTGATCACAAAGAATCAGTCTTTCATTTAGTTTTAGTGCTGGTCACTAACGACAAAAGTTGTCATTTTCGAAGTTAAGTGGTTTCGTATGTAAAACAATAGAGTTTTAGGGGTTGAAAGAGTAAATGTCGTTTTTGTGGGCTAAACGAGTAAATTTTTGTTTAGAACTGACTCGGTGAAATAAATTACAAATTTTGCAGTATTCCATTGTTCCACGATTTTATTTTTTTCATTGTTCCACGATTTAGACCGAAAGGAGAAGGAAGAAGAAGAAGAAGAGAAGAAGAAGAAGAAGAGAAAAAGGGTGTTTGTAATTGTATCGATCGGAAAATGGCGACGTCGATGATACAGAGGATGTTTAAGCAAGGCACGAAGATCGTCTGCGTTGGTCGTAACTACGCCGCTCACGCCAAAGAGCTAGGCAACGCCGTTCCCAAGGTTCCGAGATCGAATGATTTTGTTTTCCATTTTGCGATTTAGAAATTGAATTGCACAGCTCTGATCGTTGATTGTGAAAAAACAGGAACCAGTTATATTCTTAAAGCCCACATCATCATACTTGGAGAATGGAGGAACAATCGAGATCCCACATCCTCTGGATTCACTTCACCATGAAGTGGAACTCGCTCTAGTTATCGGACAGAAGGCTAGAGATGTACCAGAATCAATAGCCATGGATTACATTGGAGGTATTTGTTTTATATTATCTGCTTAGTTCTAAATATGTATAATCTTGTTTCTTATTGCATCTCTTGTTTTTTAAGGATATGCGGTTGCTCTTGATATGACTGCTAGGGAGCTCCAAGCTTCTGCTAAGGTAGAAAACTTGATTTGAGCTCATATCAATAGTTCTTGTGGGGTTTTATATATTTACAAAGTTCTTCTTAGTTCTCTGCAAGTCTGGATTTGCCCAATCCTTTGAACTTGTGTATGTTAATAGCCATACGAATGATCAAAACATCGATGATAGAACTTACCCGTTAATGAAAAGTGTTCTATGAGCTGATAAGTCATCTATGAATCGAGATTTTCCCATTTGCGTTCATGATTTGGGCTGTTCAGACTGTTTTTAATCACTATTTCCCATCACCAAATAATGGATGTGTGGTTTTGCATATTCAGCGATCTGTTTATTAACCTAAGCATGGGAAGATAACTAAATATTTAGTTTTGTGCTTAAGCATATAAATCATGTTTAAATTCTCGTTGTCAGGCATCTGGTCTCCCGTGGACGCTTGCTAAAGGACAAGATACTTTCACTCCAATCAGCTCTGTTGTAAGTATTCTTCTGAAACCTAGAATGCTACTTTCAACATGCCGTGTATAGATTATATGGAAAAATGCTGTTGTAGTAGTGATGCTTTCACAGCCAACATGACATGAGATCATATGCCTATCTTGTTGAGAATCAAAACTCTTTTTAATCTCCTAGTTTCAATTTTGTATCTCTTGCCGTGTTTCAGCTGCCAAAGGCGATGGTGCATGATCCTGATAATCTAGAACTTTGGCTCAAGGTTTGTCCCCCTAACTCTCTTGTCTTTTTGTCACTTATGAAGTCATCTCCCTCCTTAACAATCTGCAAAGACCAAACTGAATCCATTTTGTGACAGGTCGATGGTGAAACAAGACAGAAGGGTTTGACAAAAGATATGATCTTCAAGGTCCCATACCTCATCAGCTACATAAGTTCTATAATGACCCTTTACGAAGGAGATGTCATCTTGACAGGTATTTTACTTATAAATTCTGTTTTTTTTTTCCCATATCAAAACATTTGGAACCAAACGTTAAATTTATGAGACAATGCCTTCACATTATAGGTACACCAGAAGGTGTTGGACCTGTAAAGATAGGCCAGAAGATAACCGCAGGGATCACGGGTCTATCTGAAGTTCAATTCGATGTCGATAGACGTGTAAAGCCTTTGAGCTAAGTGTTGTTTTGTTTGTTGTTGTTTTGTTTGTTGTTGTTTTCTTTCGTATAAAATGTGAAATCATTTGTGGTAATAAATCGTCTCTAATTTTCATCATTTACTGTATTGTCCTTACACTTGGGAGGGAGAGAATATAGCATTAATGTAAAACTTCGTTTCCCTTTCATTTGTGATTTCGAAAACAATGACTCTTAAACCGGTTTAGATATGGGAAACATTTGGAATCGTAGGTTTTGATGTTTTTCAAAGAATATATCACATAAGAAAAGATAAAAATACAAGAATCCCTAATTTGGTTTTAACTTAGTATTTGTTATGAATTATTAATTAGATGTTCATTATAAGGCCCATAAGACCATAACATATATTGTATTTGTTTCACATCGAAAATTTATGATGATAAATAAATAAATAAATAAATAAAGTTGAAGTAGGAATTAAGATTGGACATCTAGAGTTGAATAATAAATAAATCTAATATATTCCTCTCTAAGACATCATTAATCCTCTCTGTTTTAAATAATAAATTAGTGATTTTTTTTACGTTTGCACAGATTGATATAATTTTTTATTTAATTGTTTGAAAATCTAATAATAGTTTGGATTTATTTGTTTTTTATTCTCTATTGTTAAGTATATTTTTTGTTAATTTTTTTTTGCATTTTTATACTAATATATACGCTTTCATTATATGATTAGCAATTGTCTTATTACTTTATGTTTACATACTTTATGGTAAACATAAACTAAATTTTATGTTTACAAAACTAAATTTCGATTATGTATGCAATTATGGAAGAAGAATTCTTCTGCTGGTATACTTTGATTATAATTTTGTTATTGTGGTAACTATATCATGATTGTTAAGCAAATAAGAAGAACACCATTGGTCTATTTCAGTAACTTTATTTTCCACCTCTTAGTTAAAGATACGATTTCATTTTGTATTAGACATATGATTAAATTATTTTATGTGATTATTATTTTTTGTAACTAATTTTTGGATGATCATAAGATTGAGTACTTGACCATAAAAGATCCACATATCTCTCAAAAATATAAGAAAAAATATAAGAGAATGATATAATCAAAGTGATATTGCTCAAAGCCCATTATGATATATTTTGTTGAATCTAAAATTACATGAGTTACAGTCTGTAATTGGGCATGATAATGAGTTATAAAGAGAAAATTCAAGAAACACTTCAGATTTGAGATAATTCATTCTTTGAAGCGAATGTGACATCATATATTGAGAAAGAAAAAACCATATAATTGATAAAGGCCGAATAAGTGGCTATAGAAGTGGTTGCAGGCATTAACGTGGATATGGATATGGATATGGTCAAGATCAAGTTTGAGGCCAAAGAGTTTCTTTTAAGAACTTAGATACTCACTAGAAGTGAGAAAATAAAGATAGTAACATACAAGAGATATGTCTATCATATGATGATAAAATAAACTAGTGTGAGTACAAGATGAGATTATATAAAATATTGGAAGCTCCAGAAGAGCAGATATGATTGCCTATGGAAATGATTTGAAATCATTAATGGATTATACTCTCTAAAGTCTCAAAGGTCAAAAGGATCTAAGATATAATACAAAACCCAAGTTGGGTATGTTGTTGATACTAGAGTGGGATTCAATTCGAGATGAATGGACCTGAAGTGTCATCATCATCTCGAGGGGAAGAATTGCAGAATCACACAATTCATAGTAAGTGGAACATCTAGAAGATCATCTTCACACTCATGTTCGATAAATCATGCGTAAAGAAAATCCAAAAGATTTTAAGATTTATCAAGTTGAGACAATGAGTGAAGGAAATATTTAAAATCTTCACATATATCCAAGACAGTAAAAGTAATTTAGAGAAACCACTTGCATTCTTTATTGGATTTTACTACACTAGTATATGAGATATAAATGGGTCTAGTAAACAAAAAGTTTACTGAAAATCTCACTGTTTTGGCATTACCGGTTAAGCCATTCTGGATCAATAGTAATGCGTAAAATAATCAGAAAGTATATGGACATTCATTAAAGACCCAGGAGATTCTTATATGTTGTCCATAATGAAAGTTTCATAATGCAGCTTTCTCTCTCCATAAATTTGGAAAAAGTCAAATTTCTGGTACATATAAAAAGAGATATTTTGGATTGATCATCCACTATGTATCTTTGCGAAAGTATTTGGTTAATTGATTAAACTGAAACAACATTAAATCACATTATGCCAATGAATAATTTTGAGTTCTCCCCAAGGTTTGATTTTGGTCAGGAACCAGATGTTTTCCATCTAAAAGTTTTGGATAATGTTGCTCTACCATATTGATCTATGATGGGACCTCAAAAGAGAAATATATGTTGGATATGAATCTCCTTTGATGAAATCTCCCTTGATGAGTAAATGTATTAAAACCAGCAAATAAGGGATAATATTATAATTACAGACTGTAATTTCAGTCAGTCAGTATTTCCAACAATTAAGGAAGGGGGAGAAAATAAACAGCTGGAGAATCAGTGAAAGACATTATATTGATCCTCAGAAAGAATGTGCACTAAAAATTTGAAAGATAAGTTACTTGCAAAGTTAAGCAAATTTGATGTCAGAAGCATTGCCTGACCCTAATTAAGTGATACCAGTTGTGCTCCAATTAATATTGATGTCCCGGGCCGGAGGATAATATCAACTGCTATAGAGGATAAAGATCGCATGAAGCATGATAGACCTACTGATTCCAAAGATAAGAATCCTCGAAAAGAAAAAGAGCATATTATAAAATGGCAAGGTCGAGAAAGGATTCTCTAGAAGAGATATAGACATCAAAAAGAAAGAAATCTAGGTATCTAGTAATGATAAGAAATCTGATCATAACTCTCTTACTGGTAAAGCTTATATTGTGAATATGATCAGTTCCATGTTTCAATCTGAGTCAAAGAAACAAACAATACAGCCAAAAGATAAATTCAAACTGATTTCAGCAAAAATTGATCTCTTTCTTCAAACATGTCCAACATTATCAATACTCAAATGATCACTACTACGATATCAACAAGCTATCAACAATCTACTGTGTTCTCTGGGAGATTCATTAGAGTCGATTCAAATTTATTGGGCTGAAGAAAGATGGACCTGAAATCTGCAGATGTAGTAGTCATTGCCATAGAATGATCTAATGGTCGATATCGGTTTCCTCTTAGGATTCCAAGGATCGAACACCACACTCATGTTGACCAGAGCCTTGAATCTATCCGGTCGAAGAAGACAAAGATGGAAGACGATGAAAAAATATAAGAAAAAACGATAAAAAAGAAAAACTAAAAAATAATAAGAAGAAAAAAAGATGAAAAACAATTATGTGGAGATGAATAACTCGCTTTTGTTTTAGTTCAATTGGTTTATGAGTTCAATACATTTATTTAATATACAATTATGTGGAGACAAAGAACTTGCTTTATTAGTATGTTTTAAATAGGTGTTTTAATTCTTTTCAGTTTTTAGTTTATAACATTGAAACTCCAAGGTGTAAAACAAATACATAGTAATTATTTATTGGAAAGTGAATCAACAGACTTTAATGTCTAATAGTATGTGCAACATAGAGATCTATTTAGATTTTTTATTTATTTTTATAATATTAAACTTATAGAAAGAGAAGATCCAAAAAGAAAAGAAAAACGAATTCAGAATATATAAAAAAATGAAATGTGACACTAGAGGAAAGAAAAATGAAGAACATGTAAAATATTGACACATCTCTTCTAAGAAACGTTTTTATGTCTCTTAGACCATCTCCAATAGTAGAATATTCATTTTGGGTATGTAAACAAATAAATATTAATATTTTAATATAATATAGTTATATAATTAAATTTTAATTCTAAAATTAAAAACTAACCAATATGAATGAGACACATGTAGATACTCTACACAATGGGGTTTTGAAATAAGGATTTTTAGAACCCTCTCTCTTATTTTATTAATTTTATTCTTTATTTTAATTGGTAAGAGTCTTTGTAAAACCTACCATTGGAGATGGTATTAGTTTAAACTATTTTTTAAATTTTATTTTATTAAAAAAATCTTAAAAAACTAGGTTAAAAATCCTATTGCACATGTTATAAGACCATGTTTATCAATAGTTTTTTGTTGTATTTTTGACATTTAATAATTTTTTTTTAATTAAAAAAGAGGTTTAAACACAAAGATTTATCTAAATATTCTTTAGAGATTTTAAGGATCGATCCTTATTTAAATATAACAAACTGTGATTGTGATTGGTTCAAGCATAGCATTTTCTTTCTCTCCCTTACTTTTTCGTCGTCTTCTTGCTTTATACGAATCACAGTTGATTTCTCTAATATTTTAATATAGAGTGCTTCCTTTTCTACAATCCTAATGCTTTCCTTTATTATTTTAATATTCTTCAAAAGAACCCACATTAATTTCTCTAATAAACTTACTCTAAAACTCTCTCTCTCTCTTCCAAAGTCTAAAGGGTTTGTCTTTGTCATCTGAACAGACACCAAGTCCAAGTGTCCAACCCAATAGAATCAAAAAACCTCCGTCGTACCGTACAGTTATGGATGGTGGTGAAGAAGTAGCTCCTTCCACTTCCAACACAATCATCGGGAGGTTGAGTGCACGCGCCAAGCAGACGACGCTATCGATGATCACGAAGCTCCGTCCATGGCGAGAGCTTCTTGATCTGTCGGCGATCTCTCTCCCTCGCGGATTCATCGAGGCCATGGCGCAACTAAGGCGAAACCTCTCTTACTTCCGCGCAAACTACGCTCTCGCCGTCCTCGCCACTGTTTTCCTCCGCTTGCTTTACCACCCGATCTCTATGGTCGTCTTTTTCGTCCTCTTCACCGCCTGGATCCTCCTCTATTTCTCGCGAGACACCAACGGTCCGATTGTGAATTCGGAGAAAGAAGTGGATGACCGGATCGTCCTTGGTTTACTCACTGGTTTACTCAGCTCGGTGACTATTTTGGCGTTGGTGTATACAGACGTGGGCGAAAACGCTCTGGTTCCGCTGGTCATTGGTCTTCTCATCGTCGGAGCTCACGCCGCTTCCCGTTGTACTGATGATTTGTTTCTCGATGAACAAACTGCTCGCCGGGGTTGGCTCGGTGCAGGTAACCGGCCACGGTCAAGTTATAACCCGATTTGAGTTACCGCTTATCACTTTTGCTTAGGTTTTGCTCGAGGAAAATTTGGTGGGGTAAAATCAGTTAGGGTGGTTTTGGAAATTCCCAAGATCACAAATATTATGTCTTTATCGTAAGTAAATGGCATTTGACAATCTCATAGCCAAAATTTGTTTGACAAAAAGATCACAAAAATGTTGTTATCACGCTTAGCTATACAAACTTTGCATATTTCTCGTTTCCTGCTTTACTGTGGAATATATGATCCCTAAATACATTATAAATGGCTCTAAAAAGTGAGAAAATAGTCGTGGATGTGTTTACTTATCTCGTCAGGACTTTCCTCATGGAGAAAATGTCCAACGCCTTTCATTACCACAACTTCGTCCAACAACGGTACGTGGCTCTTAAACCGGCCTTCTTGGATGTACTTCTTGGTGCCTGGGATGTGATACGTCAAGTCTTGGTCGCCGATTATGAACTTAACCGGAACTTTCACCTGAGCCTTTGAGAGTGGCCCCATCAGCTCCCATGTTCTGCAAAGAGCAATGCAGAGAATGTATTTCAAGAAAGTTCAATAGGGCGTATACAGGATAGATTAGTAATTTGAGAATTACAGGAAACATACCGGTCCATGTTTCGGTAGTAGTTTAATGGTCCAGTGAAGCCACTCTTCTCGTACTTGGAAACGTAATATTTGACATCATACTCAGTTAGCCAAGAGGGCAGTGAAACGGGATCATCATAGCTTTTTCCTCTAGGTAAGAGTATAGGACCAGGATTACGATACGTTAAGAGCTCTAAGAGAACTCGTTCCGTGCCAACTTTAGCGAATTCCGCCTCTATTTCCCCATACTCCTGCAACGTAAACCCATTCTTCTGATTAGAAACAGCCACACACGAATCTTGATGACAAGCTTCAATCGCAAACAAACTAGCAAATGTTCATTCAGGTTAGAAAATCTGATCATAACTCTTTTACTGGTAAGCTAATGTCTGTCTTGTGAATATGATCAGTTTCATGTTTCAACCTGAGTCAGGATCAAACACTACGATCAAAAGATGAATTCAAACTGATCTCTTGTTCAAACATGTCCAACATTATCAATACTCAAAGATCACTTTCACTACTACAATATCAACAAGCTATCAACAACTGAGAGATTCATTATAGTCGATTCAATTTTATTGAGCTGAAGAAGATGGACCTGAAATCTGCAGATGTAGTAGAACACAGTAAATTTGATCCATAACTCTAATACTGGTAAGCTAATGTTTGGCCTGTGAATATGATCAGTTCCATGTTTCACCTAAGTCACAAACAAACACTACAGCCAAAAGATGAATTCAAGCAGATTTTCAGCAACATTGATCTCTTCTTCAAACATGTCCAACAATACTCAAAGATTACTACTACGCTATCAACTAACTACTGTGTTCTACTGAGAGATTCATTAAAGTTTATTGAGCTGAAGAAGATGGACCTGAATTCTGCAGATGTAGTAGTCATCGCCATAGAATGATCTATAGGTCGAGATCGGTTTCCTCTTAGGATTCCAAGGATCGAACACCACACTCATGTTGACCAGAGCCTTGACTCTATCCGGTCGAAGAAGACAGAGATTCCAAGCGATAATTGCGCCCCAATCGTGTCCCACCACGAACACCTTCTCACGATCTCCGACCACCGCGTCGATCAATCCAATCAGATCTCCGACCACGTGTAGACTTGTGTACGCGTCCACGCTCTCTGGTGCCTCGGTGTCGCCGTATCCGCGCAGGTCCGGCGCGATTGTCCGGTAACCTAACGAAGAAAGTGCCACCATCTGGTGTCGCCACGTGTACCAGAGCTCCGGGAATCCGTGGAGAAAGAGTATCACCGGACGTCGTAAAGCCCCGTCAAAAGCACCGTTCCCGGCGACGGAGGGACTTTTCTCGGCGATGTGCATATTGATTCCATTAACCTTCACAAATCTGTGACTGAAAGTAAGATCCATCCGTAAGAGAAGCTAATAAGAAATGATCGAAATTTTCAAATTTGGGGAAAATTTGTTCTTATCCTTTTGATCTGCGTAAGTACTGAATACCAAGTAGCAACAAAGTCCGGACTCCGGAGCAGTCTAGACCGGTCCGATCAAACTTGGTTAAGAAGTGGAGGATTTTCACACGGTTAAATCCGATCATGTTCGGTTTAAATTCTGTTTTTCCGGTTTAATCCAGTTGAATCCGATTTCCCGGACTTTCTTAATCCGATGTTTGCCGTAAATTTGAAATTCCACTGAACAAGATCATTACATTTACATGTAATTGTGAAAAAAACACACGAATGTAGTTTGTTTTTATTTGATCGTATCGATAAAGATTGTAGATAGATCAGTAGTTTTGATTGTAAACCAACTTGTGAATGTGTTGATTGATCTCGTCAGGATTTTCCGTGTGGAGAAAATGTCCCAAGTCACTGAGCTCGATGGTTTTGTACATCAAATCCTAATCTAAAGTGTTTCGTAGGAAGGATTCAAACTTTAGGACAAAACGAAAAATATGTTTTAAAAACAGCAGGGTTATTTTTATTTGTCAATTTTTTTGTTGTTTAAAAGAAAACATTAACTTTTCTGGAAATTTCCCATTTATCAATAATTGAATTTGTAAATAACATACGCAATTGTCATAGTTAATAGATTAATGTCGTTTACTTTGAAAACATTCTTGGATGCATCGACGAGACCAGATGAGAGAGATGACTTATACAAACCCTCTGAGACGGGAAGATTCAACGTTCCTTCGTCTAATTTATTTTTTTTATAAGATTAATTAAAGTAAAGTTCTGGCCAGTGTTCCTGGAAAATGTCGAACCAAGTCAATGTCTACCATTCACCTTCCCTTATAAAGTCTTGTTGAGTTCGATCTTTTCCCAGAGAGGCAGAGACCATTCAATTCAATTCAATTCAGTTCAGCTCGATTTTGATAAAAAATATCGTCAAGCTAGATACTTTGGAGCAAATTCGGCTTAATCCAAAGAGAGTTGAATTGTGATGGAGAATCAGATCCTTTTACTTGAAGGTGAGACTGACAATTTCAATGGCGTTACCGTTACCATAGAGGAACCCATGGATGCTGAGGTTTTCACCGAAAGGCTTAAGGCTTCGCTTTCGCATTGGAGAGAAGAGGTATTTTACCACAACCCCACTTTCAGATTTCATTCTATAATAAAGTTTCTCCTTTTCTTATTGTGAGCTCTTAAGGGTCTGAAATCATATGAAAGTCTTCGTTTTTTTTTTTTTTGTGTTAATTTGCAGGGAAAGAAGGGAATTTGGATAAAGCTGCCTCTTAAATTTGCTAATCTTGTAGAGCCTGCAGTTAGTGTAAGAGGGTTTGCTAATGATTTATTGGAATCCTTGAGTTTTGGTAAGAGTTTTTTTTAGAAATGATGTTTGTGTTTGGTGATTATAATTCTTCAGGAAGGGTTTAGATATCACCACGCTGAGCCTGATTACTTGATGGTTGTATCTTGGATCTCTCAAACTGATGATACCATCCCAGCCAATGCTTCTCATGTTGTTGGTGTCGGTGCTTTGGTCATCAACAAGAATACTAAAGAGGTAAAGACCAATTAATTTGATTCCCTTGTTTAAATCATGGGGACTCAAGAAGAGCAGAATAACAATTAAATGAATAATAATTATGTTTGTTTATGAAAACATTTCTTCAATGGGCGCAGGTTCTCGTTGTCCAGGAAAAGAGTGGTTATTTCAAAGATAAAAATGTGTGGAAGCTGCCTACCGGTGTTGTCAACGAGGTGAGTTACATCGATTTTCTTAAGAAAATAACTCTTAGCTAGGACTGAATGATAGTCTTATATCTAAAGCTAGGACTGAATGTAGATGTAGTAAGTCGGTTAGAGAGCAATTAGTGAGCGCTTGGCTTGTAAATGGTCTTAAGCATATTGTCTAGGGGAGTTGAGAGTTTCTTATTTTTTCAGTCTATCTTGGTGGTGATTTGGAGAAGAAAACAAGTTTTGACAGCTTCTGTTCGACGCTGAACCTTAAAAGTGTTTACAATAACTCAGATCAATTTTTTACATCATAAATTCTGTTCACGACTTGGCTAGTCAGCTTGGTATACATATTTGCGATAGTATCAAACATTTGTCCCTGGAAAGAGAATTGATGATCAAGTTTGAAATTAAAAGGAGAATGGCAGAAATGAAGTTGTGTTCGTTTTATTTTTCTTGCTGCTTCTAATTATAACATTCCAAATCCACAGGGTGAGGATATCTGCACTGGAGTAGCTAGGGAAGTGCAAGAAGAAACTGGTGTATATATCCTGCTTTCAGAAACAAATTTATCTATTTTAACGATCTTTTACTTTCCATTTTATTCTAAAATCTGTGTTTTTTTTCATTGGACGTTATTTACTTCAGATTGTTGCAGATTTTGTTGAAGTGTTGTCTTTCAGGTAAATTATGTTTCATTGCCTTGGAAAACATTTGATCTAGCTTACCGCATCGGTTCTTTATTGATTAACTCTGTGTACTCGTAGGCAAAGCCACAAATCATTCTTGAAAAAGAAATCGGATCTGTTTTTCCTTTGTGTCTTAAGTCCACGCTCCTACGAAATCACTGAACAAAAATCTGAGATTTTGCAAGCTAAGGTATTCTAACTTCTTTCACTGTTGATGAGCCAAGAAAATGTTTAAGTTACCGTCACCTGAGCTGGTTGGTATATATCGTTTTTCACCTACAGTGGATGCCGATCCAAGAATATGTAGACCAACCATGGAACCAGAAGAACGAGATGTTCAAGTTCATGGCTAACATTTGCCAAAAGAAGTGCGAGGAAGAATACTTGGGATTCTCCACCGTGGAAACTATCACAGGATCTGGCAAGAAGAGCTTTATGTACTGCAATGCTGATCACGCCAATCGCCTTCAAGAATTGCGTAACCAAGCCTCCTCTTCTCTCTGATAACATTCTCATCCGATCCGATTCTGTTTGATATCGGCATTTGTGTTTGTCCAGTGTGTTTCTTTCTTCTACTTACAAGCTTTCTTAGACAATGCAGCCTTTGGCATTGTCTTGTAATCTATTTACAGTGGTGCTTTTTCATTCTCACAAAAACATCTACCCTTAACCGGTTTTAAATTCTCAGCTCTATGTTTCATGTTATTTCCGGTTTAGTCCAGCTGAATTCGAGTTCCCGGGCTTTATTTGCTGTTCATTTGAAATTCTAAGTGAACAAGATCGATCTTACATGTAATTGTAAAGTGCACACGAATGCTATTCTCTTTTATTTGAACGTTTCAAATACACACGAGTGGTTTTTTACTTTTCAAGGAACTTTTGAAAAAAGTTGTGAATATGTTGATTGATCTCGTCAGGGCTCTCCTCATGGAGGAAATGTCCCAATCCGTTGAGCACGACGGTTTCATCAAGCAACGGTACATCTCTCTTAAATCCGCCACCGTGAATGTATTCCTTAGCTCCCGGCGAATTGTACGTCAAATCTTGATCTCCGACTATGAACTTCACCGGTACACTGATCTTAGCACCGGTCCACGGTGCAGTCAGCTCCCAATTTCTGTTATAAAAATCAAACCAAATTTAGACCGATTGGTTAAATCTGTGATTTAACTTATTAAACCGGGGAAATATGCGTACCGGTCAATGTTGCGGTAGTAGTTAATTGGTCCAGTGAAGCCTTTCTTGTCGTACTTGTTGACGTAATAGTCGAGGTCTTCTTGTGTTAACCACGGTGGTAACGCAGACGCTGCGTTTTCTGAGCGTTTGAATAGTTTGGGTTTTGGGAGGTAAAGCGGGCCAGGCGTTTTGTAGGTGAGGAACTTTTTCAACACATTCTCTGTTCCCAACTTTTTGAACTCTGCTTCTATCTCTCCAGGTTTCTAAATCACAAAAATAATCACTCATATACATTTATTCTTTTACATTTAGATTTATATAGTCCTTTATATGATAGAATTATAAAAATCCATTTCTCATCAACCAAACTAGAATTTTCCCTAATTTTCATTCAGTTTTGATTTTTCTCCAACCGGTAAGAGTTTTTTTTTTTTATGTAGTTATTATAAAGAGTCGTATGAAATTTTAAAGGTGGACATTCCGGTTCAGAATTTCTGGTTTTATTCGGTCCCATTTCGCTTGGTTGGAGAGCAACTTATAAAACTCAAACAAAGCCTAATTAGTTTGATCCGGTTTTCGATTTCGGTTTCATCATGATAGTCATCACAGACGGATCTGGTTTACTTTAGTTTGATTTGATTATTATGGTTTGAGACTTGAGTAAACAAAAACTAAATTTACTTTTGGTCAACATAGCTCGTTTCCTAAATTCCTAATCCAGTAAGTCATTTTTAATTTTGTTTTTGTATCCCTTATTTAATTATACTGACCACAACGAAAACTTATTAGACGATGTTGGTTTGGGTTGGTCTAATTTAATTTAGTTCGGTTTAGGTTGATACAAGTCTTTAACTTGCAAACCAATCCAAATGAAAGAACATTAGGGCAACAAATTAAACTATTAATTACCTGAAATCTGCAGATGTAATAATCGTCACCAAAGACATGTCTCAACGTCGGAACCGGAACTCGATCTGGATACCTCGGAGAAAACACAACACTCATGTTGACCAGAGCCTTGACTTTCTCCGGTCGGTACTGACACAACTGCCACGCAATCATCGCTCCCCAGTCATGACCCACCACGAAAACCGCCTCGTCTCCGCTCGTCGTCACGGCGTCGATGAGTGCCACCAAGTCTCCGACCACGTTTAAGTAAGTGTAATCCTCCACTTTCTCCGGCGCGTCTGTGTCACCGTACCCTCGAAGATCCGGCGCGATCGTACGGTATCCCAAGGAGGAAAGCGCAGCCATCTGGTGCCGCCACGTGTACCAAAGCTCAGGGAATCCGTGGATGAAGAGGATGATCGGGTCTCTTCCTGATCCGGATATCTCTGCGTAGTGCATGTTTATGCCGTTAACATTGAGTGTTTTATGTTCTACGCCGTCGAGTTTTGACATCTTCACGGTGGTTGTTTTCTCTGGTGGGTTTGATTGGTTTTGAGGGAATGTAGGAGATTGAGTCGTTGGCTCTGGTCGTTTCCCGAAATGGAGGAATCTGGAAAGGAAATGGTTTAGGGATCTATACAAGAACATGAAGGTTTTTTTTACTTTTGCGTTGTTTGGGTTTGGTTGGTTGTGGTAAGGCTATAAGGCTCATGCCACATTTTAAAGATAAGGAACAAAAGGTTTTATCAAATGTGTATCACGAGGAATAAAGTAGGAGAGGACATATGCATTATTGCGTACGAAAAGTTATCAAAATTATTGTCTTCATTGTTTTAAACGATGGACATGTATTCAGTCGATTTCTTATAAGATAAAAAAAAAAATTCAACCAATGTGAAATTTGCAGCATTTTCGATTTCGAATCTCGCAATTAAATTACTGGAATTTCTTGGAGTGGACACAACATTACATTGGAATAGTAAACTCCTAGGTGTGAACGTATCAAAAGAGTATTCTTTATTTTGCTTGATGGTTACATAGTGGTATCACTACGTTTTTGCTCAAGTCATTCACTTTTCTTCCAATGCTAGCTTACTGCATTTATGTGTCAACCGGATCCGGAGAATCAATACGTATTCTCTTTTCTTTTTATCACGTATGAATATACACGGGCAGAACAAAATAATACGTATCAATACGATAAAATACGTATTCTTATATATTTCTTAATTTCTTTTATATAAATATCAATATAAACGGACCAAACGAAATAATATCCAAGTATATAGTGATAGATATTAGATAGTGAAATTAATTACATAAACCTATATATGATGAAAACCTTATGATAAATGGTCTAGCTCGGTAAAAAAATTACGTTTAGATCTATAATGAGTTCTACATTTTAAAAAATTATAAATGCGCTTGGTGAAAGTCGGACATCGATCAGTTATTATTTATTAATCTAGTTAAAAGTTGAAAACTGGCGATGATTAATGTTGTTATTTACATGGTTTATGGTTATCAAGTAATTATATGAATATACTTTGTTTTTGTTTTCCGGTCAAGACAAAACATGTGATGGTACGTATTATACGGCTATAAACAAAACTCGAATTTTGTGATTATACAAAGACTAAAAGTATGATGACTTGATGAGCATCAGACCACATGTGTTGTAAATTTTATATATGCTTGACAGAAACAAAAAGATGGTGTCTTAAAAAAAAAAAATCATAACAAGAAAAACAAGGTTAGAAGAGATTTTGGGATGAACTATATATAGAATGTAATTTTCCAAGAAGAAAGATTCATTAACAAAGACGGCACATATATAATAAAAACTAGATGTTTACATTGGAGGTTTCGTAAATCTCTCTCTCTATGATATTAAAGTATCGAAAAAGATGGATAGATCAAAGATAACTAAATTTACTCACTCACCAAAAGGATTTATATGATCTCACGTAAACATATGATTAAATTAAGCTTTTATACGTTCCATTCGAAATAATTGATGTCACTTGTGAGAAACAAATATGGCTGATGTACGGAGCGTTAGCATTACCGAAGAAGGTTGCAACAACAATTCGCTGCGGCGAGAACAGTTGATAATCGGGAGGAGAGATATGAAGAGGATCACAGTTTTCCTAACCGCAACTGTTTTGATGCTCCTAGTGTGCTACCGTTGGGAATCTCCCATCCAGCCGCAGCTTCTCGGTTTTTCCGCGTTTACGTCGCTGCAGCCGATCCCGACCAAACAAGACTCTAACAAAACCAATCTCGTTAAGTAACTTACATTTATCTACTACATAACATTTTTTGGATGCAAACATGTTTTTTCGAAGGCAAATTGCGTTTACTTTGACCGGTGTTTCTTTTGGCTCATATAAGTTTTGATTTATTGTGTTTTTGGGCAGTATGAATCAAAAGATGTGAGAAGTTTGGAAGATATCATGAGAGAAGCAGCGACAGAGGAGAAAACGGTTATAATAACTTTCTTAAACCGGGCCTGGGCTGAACCAAACTCGATATTCGACTTGTTTATCGAGAGCTTTCACGTCGGCCAAGGGACTAAGCGGTTGCTCCGTCACCTTGTGGTGATATGTCTAGACGAGAAAGCCTACTCACGGTGCTTGAAAGTCTATCCCCACCGTTGCTACTTCTTGAAGACCGCAGGAGTTGATTTCTCCGGCCAGAAGAACTACATGACGCAAGATTATCTCAAAATGATGTGGCGTCGTATTGAGTTCTTGGGCTCCCTCTTGAAGCTCGGATATAGCTTCATCTCCACGGTATCTATCTATATATTTCACGTGAATATTTAGAAATCATTAACTTTTCAACTCAAAATGAGTGGATGACTTTTTATTCTTTGAGGTTTTAACCATAGCGCTAATTAATTATGGTGAAATAAAACATAGGTCCAAATTGGTAGTCTTGAAATTTGATTAGATATATATTGTACCTATTTTTTAGGTTAATTGTTCTTGAAATTGGAAAATAGGACATGGATATAATGTGGCTTCGAGATCCATTTCCTCGTCTATTTTCAAAAGGAGATTTCCAAGTCTCTTGTGACAGCTACAATGGCAACTCTATGGACAAGAGAAACCTCGTCAATACCGGTTTCTATTTCGTCCAAGCCAACCAAAGAACTGTCAAGTTCTACAATTACTGGTACAGTTCAAGGTCGAGATTCGGAGGCAAGAAAGATCAGGACGTGTTCAACAAGATCAAACACGACCGTTATATCACGAAAAAACTCGGGCTTACGATAAGGTTTCTCGACACGGTTTACTTCCGAGGATTCTGTCAAATGAGGCGTGAGATGAGCAAAGTAATCACTATGCATGCCAATTGTTGTTTTGGTCTACAGAACAAGATTTTTGATTTGAGACAAGTGCTTGAGGATTGGAACGCTTACATATCTGCGGCTGGGACAGTCGATGGCCGGAAAATGAGATGGCGATCACCGGATCATTGCTGGGGAAGAGTGAAAAAAACTAAGAAGACAAGGGTTTAGTGATCGATGCAAGAAAAGATTACATCAATCTCTTTTTTTTTTTTTTTTTTTATTGGAAGCTAAAGATTCCAAATGAAGCAAAAGTTAAGTCCTTGTAACAAAACCGATTTATACACTAAAATATAATATTGGACTATATATATGAAAATGCATCTTAAGGTTCTTGAAAAAATTGACTGACGAAAAAAAGTTCAAGAACAAATTAACATTCTCGATTGACTGCTGCTGATTAGATTGGATACAACTCAAGAAAAGTAGTAGAAGGAAAAAAAAGCTATCTATAAGAGTCTGAAGAAAACATTTATACCGGATGTTGAGCAAGAAACTGGCCTGGAAGGCTGGAACAAGGGCTAACTCGTCAAACTTTTGTTCCACAGTTGGTGGCAACTCCTTGTTAGCAAAATATATTTTGGCCCGAGAATCAAGCTTTATATTAATCTCATGGAAACGAGTAAACAAGAATAAATCTTTAAAAATGGAATCCATTTGATCAGGATTCTTTCTCAGATCTTCATTCAAATCTTGGGGGGGCTTCCATACCTGCGAACACGAAGCAACAACTTCTTTAAAAAAAGGGAACCACCTATCAGTGGGCTTTAGAAACTGAAAGTGAGGCTTTGTCATAGCTCTTCTGGCCAGTTCCCCCAAAAATACATCTTCCCCGTACCAGGCCACAAACTTTGCTGTGATCCTAATAGTGTCAAGCTCCATGAGCTTCATCCCTTTAGGGCGTACACACTCAGGGAGTACACAATGTGCATTTGATACAACACAACATTCAAACGTTGAGCTCGTCTGCCTGGATACTTAGAGTAATGACGAAGCTTGCTACTATAAAATTCGTGATCAGGATCTAGGATGTTGAGAAAGTTGAATCTTGGATCATCCGCAGTACGGTTCATGACCGTACTCTCAAACTCAGACCCGTTTTGGGCAACCAATAGAGCCGTCCTCTCGATAAGAGTATTAATTCTCACATGTGGAGGCGTGTCAAAGATCTCAAGACTCCTTAGATGATCCTCAGGCTCGAGAAAACCTTCATAATCAACACTATCATCATCCGGATCTCGGTTTTGGTTCCGTGCACGTTTTCAGCGAGCTTGTGCTTGTAATAGGCGTGATGAGCATCTGTTGGATCCCTCAAAAAGTTGAATCTTGCATCTTTGGGCTCGATCTTACTCTCAAACTCCAACCCCTTCTTGGAAACTAAACTTGCCGCTTGCTCCACTATACGTCTAGTGAATTTATCCGCAGGTGGCTGAATGATTTCGCTAGTCTTGTTTTGCCCCGAATGCAATTCATTAATCTCCATCGGACTGGACATTGTTTTTTTCGAAACTTTAAAATCAATATCAGGTTAATGACTAATTAGGGTTTCGGAGAGAGAGATCCGAAAAGCTAGCCCTAACGAACGACTTCGGGATTTGAACCTTTGGCAATCGACAAACCCTAGGCTAGCGAATTTATAAATCAAACCAAAACACCCAGTGTTCACCTTTTTTAATGGGTTTGTTGGGATTTTGTGATGATTTGTATAAAACTTTTCCCTCTCTTGATTAATTTTTTTCTCTTTTCTCTCTTTGTATATGATCTTTGTTTCTAATACATTAAACGTTGAGCCTTGAACTTTATTTATAGAGTTGTGATTCTAAACAATAGTAAATTGCTATTTCCTATTGTTAGTAATTTCCATTCTATTTGTTTGTCTTTTCTTCATGATTTCCTTTAAGCTTAATTTCCTTTGTTGATTTAGTTTCTGTTTAAAAAATCTTATATATAATAGGAGAGTTTTCTTTTCATATAGGGTATCCACATCAACAAAAAATAAAAATTAAAGTTAATAATTTAATTAATTCATGCATTTTAAAATAATAATTAATTTTCATTTAAATGAAAACAAGAACACTAAAACTAAAGTTAATGACTCAACTAATAGATAGACTTTTTATAATTATTATTTTTCATCAAATAGAAAAAGAGTAAAAACTTGGAAAAAAGAATGGAAAAAACGACGATGGTGAAAAAAAAGTTAAAAAACAATAAAAAATAGTAAAAAAAAATAGGAGAAAAAAGAAAAAATAAAATGTAAAGAAAATGAAATAGATGAAAATGAAGTAGAAGATGAAAAATACGTACACAAGATTAGTAAGAATAAGAGACAAAGAGGATAAAAGAAGAAAACCTGGAATAAAAAAAAAAAAAAGTCGAAGAAGATAAAGAGGATAAATCAAAAGAAGTAGAAGTCGAAGACGATGGAGAGATATATGAAAAAAAAAAAAGATAAAGAAGAGGAGGAAAAAGAAGACTGAGCTAATAAAGAGAAATTTTGGAAATATAAGAATAAAAATGTTCAAGATGAGGAAAGAGGCCAGAAGACAAAGATGAAAAAATATAAGAATGTGAAGATGTAAAAAAAGGTTAAGAAAGATAAAAAAAGACAAATAAGATGAAATAGTTGTTTGTTATAACACATATCATATATGGACTCTTATACCGGCCCATTAGGCCCATCAGGGCATTGTACTTAACCTAGATTCCCTATGTACTCTATATATACATTCCAGTGATTAATAAAGTTTCTAAGAAGTTTTCACAACACGTTATCAGCACGATAAGACTCTCTGAGCGAAAAACCCTAATAAATCCGGCCACCACCAAAACCCTAAAAGCAAGTCGAAACTTAAAAGATGCATATCTTCCAAACCGTGAGGAACCAGAAGACGATCTACATATCAAATCGAAGCCCTCGACGAGACGAATCTACTGGTGAAAACCGTTTGTCGATCCAACGTCGGACGCGCCCTCACGCACACTTACAGTACACGACGATCAACCGAAAAAAAAAAAAAAAGCAGATCCGAGTTTTTCCTTCTTCAACCAGCAGCTTCTCCAGTTTTGGTGATCAATCCTTGGAATTTGTAGCGGCTAACTGAGGTCTATTAGCTCCCAGTTTCATTAGCCTGTCAGAAATCCAAAGGTGGAAAAGCACACCAGCAAATGGAAACCATAGTCGTAGATAGTGGATCCAGCCACACTATCTTAAGAAACAAAAGTTACTTCATAAACCTAACCTATCAAACCGCAAATATTAGCACCATCGCGGGTCCCTCAAACCTTATCGAAGGATATGGCCATGCCTATGTGTTGCTATCAAATGGCACACAACTTGAAATACCAGATGTTCTATATTCTCCTAGTTCGAAGAGAAATCTTCTGAGCTTCAAGGATATAAGACAGAATGGTTTCCACATAGAAACCCAAGGTCAAGGGAACAAAGAATCCCTCCTAGTCACTAAAACCGTAGACGGCCATAAACAAATCCTCGAAACCATACCCGCGCTCTCTACTGGACTTTACCATGCTAAAGTCAGTATGATTGAAGCTAATACCACTCTCAAAGCCCGGTTTACTGATTATACTATTTGGCACGACCGGTTCGGTCATCCCGGTGCAAATATGATGCGTAAACTAATTCAAAACTCTCAAGGGCATACCCTCAAAGAAAACCGAGCTTATCCTCAACACCTCATGTGCACAGCTTGTTCTCAAGGCAAATTGATCACTCGGCCTTCACCAGTTAAAATCTCTAAACAAACACTTCATTTCCTAGAAAGAATCCAGGGCGATATCTGTGGACCTATACACCCATCTTCCGGACCATTCCGGTACTTCATGGTCCTTATAGACGCATCGACCCGTTGGTCATATGTTTGTCTCTTGTCCTCTCGGAACCAAGCCTTCGCTAGGTTCTTGGCCCAAATCATAAAATTGCGGGCCCATTACCCTGACTTCCCACTAAAGACTATCCGCCTTGACAATGCTGGTGAATTTACCTCACAAGCGTTTAATGACTACTGTATGGCCATGGGGGTAACCGTGGAACATCCTGTAGCACATGTCCATACTCAAAATGGATTGGCTGAATCATTCATTAAACGCATTCAATGGATAGCCCGACCATTACTCATGAGATCAAAGCTCCCGGCCTCAGCATGGGGACATGCAGTATTACATGCTGCTGAACTCATACGCATCCGGCCATCTAGTGAACACAAATATTCCCCATCCCAACTACTCTCGGGTCATGAGCCAGACATCTCCCATCTCAAAACATTTGGGTGTTCAGTATATGTACCCATTGCTCCACCACATCGAACCAAAATGGGACCTCAAAGAAGGATGGGAATATATGTTGGTTTTGACTCTCCCACCATCATAAGATATCTCGAGCCAACCACTGGAGATCTCTTCAAGGCCAGATATGCGGATTGCCAATTCGATGAATCGGTATATCCCTCTTTAGGTGGTGAGACAAACAAGCTGGTCAAAGATCTTTCATGGAATCAAACATCATTAAATTGGCAAGATCCTCGGACTCTAGAATGTGATTCAGAGATCCAAAAGATTATTCATTATCAAAAGCTACCTAATCAATTGCCAGATTCCTTTGCTGACCCGACCAAAGTAACCAAATCGTACATCCCAGCTTGTAATGCACCAGTACGAATAGCTGTCCCAACGGGACAGACCCAAGTTGCTACAGAGTCTGCACCACGTCTCAAACGGGGCAGACCTCTCGGTTCCAAAGATAAGAATCCCCGGAAATCAAAGAAAGGTGCAATAACCGAAACCGGGATTCCTGCAATATCATACATAGCCGCGGCTGAGACTCAATCTAATAAACCCTCAATGGAAGTTCGGGACGCCGAATCTCCAGGTTCAGAAGATAACAATGAGATCTCCATCAATTACAATATGTCCGGAATACAATGGAATCGAAAAGAAGTCGACTTAAATGCACTCTTTGCATACAAAGTAGCACTTGATGTTGCGCTCACGCAAGAGGATCTAGAACCCACGTCAATAACACAGTGTACACATCGAACAGATTGGCTAAAATGGAAAGAAGCCATAAACGTGGAGTTAAAGAGTCTCAAACTCAGAAACGTGTTCGGTCCGATCATCCGGACCCCATCACACATCAAGCCAGTGGGCCACAAATGGGTCTTTGT